ATCGAAACTGCCGCTGGTAATTTGTACAAGGAAAAAATCATTCGCGGTTTCTGTCACTTGTACTCTGGACAGGAGGCCTGCGCCGTTGGTGAGTGGAACATTCAAATATAAGTAACTATTCTATAGATAAATTTTGCATTTACATTATTTAGGTATGAAAGCCGCCATGCGTGAACAGGATAACATAATCTCTGCTTACCGTGTGCACGGTTGGACCTATTTAATGGGCGTCTCACCTGTGGGTGTGCTCGCTGAGCTGACTGGTCGCCAGAGTGGTTGTGCCTTGGGTAAAGGTGGCTCTATGCACATGTATGCGCCCAACTTCTATGGCGGCAATGGTATTGTAGGCGCACAGGTGCGTCAGATACATGCATAATTCACGCTGCTAAATGATATATTGATTATTAAACTTTTGTTTGCCTAGGCTTGCGCCGCGAATGATTTTTTCCTTGTACAAATTACCAGCGGCAGTTTCGATACGACGAATAGTTTGCATTTGGGTGTAATATTTGGTTGCATCCTCTTTGGTCAGTGTGACGGTTGATTCGGGGCCTTTATCAAGTCTATGCAGTTTAAACGGCTGCATGAAAACGAAAGAATTTCAACTTCTAAATTGTAAACTATTACAGCCATTGAAAATTTAAGTCAATTTAAGTTACTGTGGCAAAAAGATATGATAATTAAACAACGTATAAGTATAGCACTTTGAATGTGTTTATAATTTTGAAAACTTTAGAGTGTAATCTATTGTTCTCTTTACTTTTACTTGCCGGTAAAAATAATAAAGCTAATTAACAATTACTGAGTTGTTGTTGATATAACTAATTATATTCATATACCAATTATCAGTATTATTATTTGCTTTTACATGTATCTATTGTAACATTTTATAGACTGCTGTGAAAATATTGTTGATAAGCGGCCGACTATAAACTAGGCAACAAATTAGAAATGTAAATAAAAAGAAACCAATTATAGAGTCCGTTGTCGTGAATATTAGCATGTCATTAATATTAGAATTGCTTCTAAAATATTATATGCATTTTTTATTGTTCGGTCTTGCTGGTTACTTATGTACATCATTATATAAATGAGATTCAGTAGATAATACACACATTTTTTTTCAATCGCTTTGTTTTCATACAAATAAAAAAAAACTACTAAAACACTGCCACCACAATCTTATGGGTAAGGGTGTTACACTTACGCGATTCACTTGTATGGTCGCCTCCGTTGCGTATTTCTTTGATTTTTGTATACCAGATTGGGCGGCATTCTGGAATAAACCGAAAAAGGATGAATAATTCCTGCTCATGTTAAAATTTGTTGTTTTTGCTTTAGCTCTCAATGACGCTGCTGCTGCCTGATGTTGTAAGCTGCAGCTAACCAAAGGAGCTATGTGCTGTCGCTGAAGCAGGTTCAACAGCAGTCCCCGATTACATACTTTTTGCAATTGCTTCGCCACTAATGGCAATCCGCTGCATCTGGAAAGTGTCCGCAACATTTTTTTCCTTTAATAAATTGTATATTAAATTTAATATAAAATATGAATTTTTGGACCACTGGAAATCGCGAAACACTTTGACCAAAAGAAACCTCACTGAATACACGAATCCAAATGCGAAAAAACTGTCAATTAGAATTACTGCTTCTTCTTTAAGATACTGTGAATAACTAATGTAAAATACACATAGAACTTTTTCTTCGTTTTGCGTCAGACATTTTTTGACAGAAATACGATGTGCGCTTTTGTATGAGTATGTTCACATAAAAAGTTTCGACGCGAAGCCAAGCATATTTTGGGCAACTCTCATCTTTTTACGGTTTACAAAGCAACAATCGCAATTTCTATTAGAGAGAAACACTGAAAGCAAAGCGTTCACTGTTCACGTAAGTTGTATGTGAATAGGCCTTAAGCGTAATCACAGATCAGGACCAAATGTTTTATAAAAATTATTATGTCCATAGAAACATTTTTTACATACCAAAATGTTAGTACTTTTTAGCAATTTTTTAGTTGATATTAAAAAAATGTAAATTAATGACAAGGCTTACTGTAGGAATATTCGAACAGCTGTTGAATGGTCTCTTATTTTCCCCCTTAAGAAAACATACAACACTGATTTGTGTTTTGACATTTATCATAAGCGAACACAACAACAAAGTTTTTAAGCGGCATGTTGAAGATTTCATGAATTAATCGTGATTTTCAAACAATTTGTTTTTACAGTAAAATAGCTAATTTTTGGGAATAATTGCAACAAAATGCCGAAAGAGCAATTTCGTGAAGCTGATGTGATCAAAAAAATGTATTTGAAAACTTCAGCAATGCCAATAGAAATAAGTAAATTATGTGTATATTTTCTAGTTCCCATGTGCAGTTTTGTATTAGCAGTCCTGAAGAAATACAGCAGGAATCACATTTGCGCATCGTTTCTAAAAATCTGTATCAAGGACAACGCCAGCCGGTTCCCTATGGCGTGCTGGATAAACGTATGGTAAGAATTTTTATAGGTTTTTTAATTAAATAGATTCCTTACTTCTACTTACTTATAGGGTGTGAGCACCAAAGATGCCACCTGTGATACATGCGGTCAAGGTCTGAATGAATGCATCGGCCATTTCGGTTATTTGGATCTTGCTTTACCAGTATTCCATATTGGACACTTCCGCTCAACAATATCAATCTTACAAATGATTTGTAAAAGCTGCTCGCATGTTATGCTGCGCGAAGTGGATAAGCGTATATATGAGAAAAAACTACTAAATCCAAATCTATCATATTTAGCAAAGAAATCTTTGCATGGCCAAATATTAAACAAAGCAAAGAAGCAGACCAAATGCCCTAATTGTGAAGCATCCAATGGCGGTGTAAAGAAAGGCCCAGGTTTATTAAAAATTTTACATGATCCGTGTAAGGGGAAGAAGCCGGATGCTCTAATGACCGAAGCACTAAATGAATTGCTGCAAGCAACTGAAAATAATCGCGAGCTACAGCAAATGCTAGCGTCATACAATCAAGTTGAGGAACTAAATCCTTTAACAGTATTGGAATTATTCAAAACAATACCGAAAAATGATATACCACTTTTGGGCATGACTTCTGATGACGCTAGTCCGGCAAATTTGATCGTGACACGTGTTTTTGTGCCACCGGTATGCATACGTCCATCGGTGCTCTCCGAAGTTAAAGCAGGAACGTAAGTAATAAAATATGGTAAGTTTTAAAATGTGTTTGTATATAATGAATCTTTATTACGCTAAAGCACCGAAGATGACTTGACAATGAAGCAAAGCGAAATTTTACTTATCAACGATGTCATACAGAAACATATGACGGGTGGTGGAAAAATCGAACTCATTCAAGAAGATTGGGATTTTTTACAACTACACGTCGCACTATACTTTCACAGTGAAATTTCTGGCATCCCACTAAATATGGCACCAAAGAAAACTACACGCGGTATTGTGCAACGTCTTAAAGGTAAACAGGGACGATTTCGGGGTAATCTCTCTGGCAAACGTGTTGACTTCTCCGGACGTACCGTAATCTCACCAGATCCTAATCTAATGATACACCAAGTAGGTGTACCTGAACGTGTTGCCAAAATACTTACGTATCCGGAACGTGTAAATCCCGCGAATATACAAAAAATGAAAGAACTGGTAAAAAATGGCACACAAAAGCATCCGGGTGCCAATTATGTACAACAACGTGGCTCCACATTCAAAAAGTATCTTGCCTACGGCAATCGTGACAAAGTAGCGCACGATTTAAAGTGTGGTGATATTGTGGAAAGACATTTGTGCGATGGCGATATAGTGCTCTTCAATCGTCAACCATCACTACACAAAATGTCGATTATGTGTCACCAGGCGAAGGTGCAGCCACAACGTACATTCCGTTTCAACGAGTGCGCTTGTACACCATATAATGCAGATTTCGACGGCGATGAAATGAATTTACACTTGCCACAAACGGAGGAGGCGCGTGCAGAGGCGCTAATACTTATGGGCAATAAATCGAATTTGATAACACCGAAAAATGGTGAAATACTCATTGCGGCAACACAAGATTTCATTACCGGTGGCTATTTGCTCACGCAAAAAGATGAATTTCTTACCAAGGAACAAGCAATGCAATTAGCTGCTTGCTTTCTAGCCGGACCTGATGCCAATATGCGCATCGATATGCCACCACCGGCCATATTGAAACCACGCAAACTCTGGACAGGCAAGCAGATATTCAGTCTACTGTTGCGTCCGAACAAGCAATGTTCGGTGATGGCGAATTTGATAACAAAGGGAAGAAACTACACGACCAACTATGACCTATGTGTACGAGACTCGTGTAAGTTAATTGTAGGAATATCAGTGGCGTGTAGTTTTAATTTAAAATTTCGGTAAACTGCTATTTTAGGGGTGATTATACGTAATTCGGAACTAATTTGTGGTTCGATGGATAAAAGCACTTTAGGTTCGGGCACCAAAAACTGCATATTCTATGTTATACTCCGTGACTTTGGTGAACTCTATGCTACCAAATGCATGTGGAGATTGGCAAGGGTAAGTAAAATATTTTAACTTAACTTAAACCAACTAAAATATCATATACAAGCAGGGTTGTAATTAAAATGTTTAAAAGACAATTGAATTACGATTTAAATAATACCAAAAATCTACATTAAAAATAAGTTTGAAATTGAATTCATATTTACATTAAATTTGTTTTTCATTTTGTAATCTCGCAAATATTAATTAAGAATAGTTTTCAAATTTCTAATCCCGAATACAAAATTGAAAAAATAAAAATAAATTTTTAATCCCAAAAATTAATTTAAACATAAAAAATGAAAATTGTAATCATAATTACCGGATTGTATAATAAACAAAATTATTCCCAGTTTTATATTTAAATATTTAAAAAAATGTGTGTTTTGAATTTTACAATTATTTCGCGTTTGCGTACTTGGTGTTCTATCATTTTGGTCATCTTACGAAAACGAAAGCTTATTTTTAATAAATTATCAACATTTTATCTTATTTATATTTATTTACTTTTAATTATACAAATGTTTTTTGTTACACTAATGTTTAAATTAAAAAATATTTTATCAATTATTAATTGATTGGGATTGAAAATTAAATTCCGACTTTTAATTCCGATTTTCGTTTTAAAGTATTCAATTTCCAATTTTTAACTTCGGTTTTGGGATTAAAAATTAAGTTTTCACATATTTTTTAATATTAAATCTTTTTTAAAAAAAATTCTTAATTAAAAAAATTCACAATCCTGCTTAGAAGTGGTGAATAAACAGAGAACCATTCACCGTTGTTGTTGTAGCACTATAAAATGTATATAATATAATATATATATTTATATAATATATTTATTATATAATATTATAATTCAAAAACTTCCACCTGCACATGATAATAATTGTTTTTGTCATTTTTAAGGCACATCATTATCAGCCTCATTACTCCTTAAGCTTGTGAAAGCATTCTTACAAATTCCTATTGAAAACAAAAATGTTTCAAATGAGCAAATTAGTGTTAATAATCAGAAGTGCGATTACTGATTTTTGCAAAAAAACACAAACGCTCACAACGCAATTTGCTCCAATCAGCTAAAATAAAATAAAGGTATTATCACATGCCAGTAAATCCCCAAACATATTTTTTATTTTTTTTTTTATTTAGTAACACTGCTTGAGAAAAATATAACTTGAGCGCTACTGATTGGTTTACAATTATTTTCGTATCTTATCTTAATAAGAATTGAAGTGCATACGAAAAATAATTAGAGAAAAAACAAAAACAATGTATATTTATGTGTAAAACAAATAATTGGCTGCAAAAGATAAAATTTTTCTTAAGAAAAACTCGAAACTATTTTATTTGCAGAATTAGAGGTGTGTTTAACACATATAGCTGATAGTTTATGAGACAAAAGTTCATTACACAAAATACTTATTTTTTTAGATTATGTTTTTATAAAAAGCAGAAATCGGTTTGAAAATCATTGCGTAATTTATTTCCTTTATATCTCAAGTCTAAGCACGCAATCAATAACTATTGTAGTCAATACCCGTCACCTGTGAAATGAAACTCAGGAACGAGGTTAAACGCGCATAACCAGATGGATACCTCATAGTGCACATATCTTCTGCCACAAATGAGTTTATACCAATTTGCATCCAGTTGCCATTCAAATCTTGTGTTATTAGCGGTCCACCAGAATCCCCACTACATATCGACATATCAGTGCCATTTTCGCCCCGCGCGCATAATGTTGACGGTATCACCACGCTTGAGCCAAATACATCGCCGCATTGACTATTGTTGATAATCTGCACTTGTGCATACAACAATAAATTTGAGGATTCTAGATAATCATCGTCGGTTAGGCCAAAACCAGCAATTGTGGCTACTTGTCCAATAAAATTGAACTTCGCATAATCATTTGTCACCAATTGTATGGGTTGTATGCTTTTGCTGAATGTTAAAGTTGTTGGTAGCTGAATTAATGATATATCATTATTTAGTGTCGCACTGTCGTATTTCGGATTTATATATAGTTGTGTTGCAGTCATATTTAGGGCGTACGGATTATTTAGTAGTACAGTACCGAACATAATAAATACAGATGTTAGGCCATATGTACAATGTCCCGCGGTGAGTACCCAATTTGCTGCGATAATTGAACCGCCGCATAGCAAATCTTCAATTGGATCTTTTTTCAAAATTACTTGCCAGGGAAATTGACCAAGTGATGCCGGGCTACCCGATACAATGCGATTTTGCTGTTGACATAAAAATTACAAACAGAAAATATTATACGACACTAATGTTTATGATTAAATATAAAATTAACACTCATGAATAAATATAAAATTCACATTATTATGCATATATGATATGCATATATATAATATATAAATTGTTTATATAAATGTTCATTCTGTTCATATTTTTTCCAAATGAGTTTAAAGCACATGTCCATTTCAATTTATTTAAATTAAAACGTTGTGTTATTAATGCAATCGGAAGTAAAATTTGAATTATCGTTTCAAATGTATTTCCGCGTTGCCAACTGTTCAATTTATAAACACAGAAATACAGTTCTAATGTACATTAATACACTTGCCTTTTGTAAACATTGAGATCTATAACGAAAATTATTATTTTTATTATACGTATATATTTTCATTATACGTATATATGCATTATATATATGAATACGTATATATGTATTAAACCATGTGTGAAGTTAATAACGCAAATAATGAGCGCTGCTATAAAAATTTAAATTCAAGTGTTTGTAGTATGAACAAGTGCATTGAAAATTTACTCGGCACATATGTATTTCTTATAACACACAATTTTTGTTTCTTTATTTAACATATTAACATGTTTTTAATGCTTGATCATTTCAATTAAAAACCTCAACTGTCAGTTCATTTTATTGTTACTGTTAATTATTAATTTCACAAATTTAACTTTTTAACATTTTACTGCAAACTCACAATTTCACCCAAATCTGTCCGTGGCTCTATGAAGGCCTGTGCAACCGCGAGTAGCAGTATAAGGCACAGGCATGCCAGAATTTCAACTCTCATTGTAATAAGGTTTTCAGTAGAAACTACGGTAATTGGTTTTCAGTAGAAGATACGGTAATTGGCCACAACAACCAACACTTTGCGAAATCACGACAAACTGCTCTGACGCGTCGGCCGCTGCCAAGTTTTATAAACCGATATAATACTTTCGTACTCCAGTGATTAAGACGTACTATCTAAAAATGTTTCCCGCTACGGTTATATACATGTACATACATCTACATACATACATTTCATAATTTTTATCATATTAAGTTGTTAAAAAAAAAATTAAAATTTTTGCCATGAGAAAGGCAATGCTATCTCTTTTGTACACTTTGTACTTCTTAATTGTTTAATTCATTCATCAAATATTGTTATTCAATATCTTATCGGCCTAACAGGTGCTGTGCTCTCTTAATTATAGTGTTTACGACATGTTTTGTCTTTGCGAAAAACTTAATGATAGCAAATATCAGCTGTTTGTAAATTTTATGTAATTTCTATACAAATCCGGTAAGCAATTTCAATCAATTTTAGTACTAATTGCTCTTGTACTTTTATGATACAAGCGTATATGTACAATAAGTCTGCCTTTTATATCAGCTTGTTATCGCTGCTATATATTGATATCGTCAGTTATTTATTTATAGAAATTCGCTTCTTCATCAATTTTATAACGGTTATTTGTTTGTTGGTTTAAGATATTAACCGAATTTATAAATGTTCATACGTATACTTTTTCGTTATCGAGCTTTTAATTTATAATACATTACCACATATCAGTTTAACTTAATAGAGCACCATACATTTTCCGTGCTTAACTGTTAGTTTCGACTACACCATGCTCTGAATTGGTGGTGGGCGGACTCCCACTTATTTGCACTAGAGTGCCTCGCTTGCCACGCATGCGTCTTCCACGTTGTTTTTTTTTTTTTTTTTTTTTTTTTATACTCTCAAAACTACGATTCACAGTGTATGGTAAACTACTCCAGTTAGAGTTAAAACGCCGAAATGTCTTGAGGCCATTGTCTAGCTACATAAACTTGGTGTTGTTGTTATTGTGGTAGCATTTTGAAGAATGCTGGATAGAAATCCGGATCCATTCCTGTTATGTAGACCCTATTCTTGTGGAAAAGGTCTGCTCCTCGCACAAAAAAAAAACTCTTGCACTTGATATTAAGCAGTGTACTATTTGTAGTTGTATAGTTATTAATAATTAAAGCACTCAAATAAAATTTTGTACTTATAGATCGCGTCATATTTCATACAAAATCGTGGCTTCTCCTTCGGCATCAGCGATGTAACACCCAGCAATAAGCTGTTGGAGGAAAAACAGAAGCTGTTGGAAAATGGCTATGCCAAATGCAATGAATATATTTTGGAAATGAAAAAGGGTACACTACAATGTCAACCCGGTTGTACACCGGAACAAACATTGGAGGCGGTAATGTTGCGTGAACTCTCTTCGATACGTGAACAGGCAGCTAAAGCTTGCTTCCGTGAGCTGCATCCCACAAATAGTGCGCTTATTATGGCGCTGTCCGGTTCCAAAGGTTCCAACATCAATATATCACAGATGATTGCTTGCGTCGGTCAGCAGGCTATCAATGGCAAGCGTGTGCCAAATGGATTTGAGAATCGTGCTCTGCCGCATTTCGAGAAATTCTGTGAGTGTGAAAAAAGTTGATATTTTTTTTGTTTTGTTTTTCAATTTTTTACTGTTATATATTATAATTATTTTTAAAAAACAGCCGCCATACCGGCAGCACGTGGTTTCGTGCAAAATAGCTTCTACTCGGGTCTGACGCCTACCGAATTTTTCTTTCACACAATGGCTGGACGTGAGGGTTTGGTCGATACGGCTGTGAAAACAGCCGAGACTGGTTATCTGCAGCGGCGTTTGGTGAAGGTGCGCTGATTTTATATTATATTTTTTCAAATGGATGTAAGCAGTTTTTTTTATAAATAATATTTTTTCACCATACCGCACTAGTGCCTGGAAGATCTGGTTGTACACTACGATGGCTCTGTACGTAATGCTATAGGTGAAATAGTCGAGTTGATCTATGGCGGCGACGGCTTAGATCCGGTTTTCATGGAAGTCAAAAATAAACCCGTCGATTTGGTACGCCAACTGAATCATTTGCGCGCCATCGTGCCCGATCGTAAAAGCGCACCGCAAGCTGCAGCGGAAATTACACAAGTAGCGCGTAAAATACTCACAGAGAATGAATTCACCATGAGTCGCAAAGATTTTCAAAGTGAAATTATGTAAGAAATATAATATATCTTTATATGTGCAAAGTTGCTAAAATTCTATTTGCTTTACAACAACAGCGCATTTATCGAAAAAGTCGCGCAAAAAATCGCCAATGTACAAGCCAAATACCGACGTCACCTGAAATTGGCTAACGAAATTGAACGCCTGACCGAGGAACAAATACGCACATTTATGCGTTGGGTCAATGATAAATACAATCGTGCTGTAACTGAACCTGGCACTGCTGTAGGTGCTGTTGCGGCGCAAAGTATTGGCGAGCCGGGCACACAGATGACATTGAAAACTTTCCATTTTGCTGGTGTCGCGTCCATGAACATTACGCAGGTGTGTATGGCGAGTTAGAACCAGCAATAAATAGAAAATATCTAAAATTGCGTAAATTAGCTTAAGTCGACCTAACATAAGCTAGTTATTTTTGTTTCTAGTCAGAATTGGTATATACACACGAAGTAGTTTCTCAGTGTTTCAGATATTGATCTGAATTTTTGCACACGTACTTTTTCCCTAAGAAACTGCTCGTTTATCGGAACTGCCGATATCGGAACACTATAGCATTTAGCTGCCATACAAACTGATCGATCGAAGTCAGGTCTATGTATGGAAAACTGTTTTATTTTACGAGATATCTGCACGAAATTCACATGCATTATTGTCTAAAGCAAAACTACAATCTCCTAACAAATTGTACAGATCGAACAACTTTAGCATATAGCTGCCATACAAACTGATCGATCAAAATCAAGTCTATGTATGGAAAACTGTTTTATTTTACGAGATATCTTCACGAACTTTGAAATGGATTATTGTCCAAGGCAAGTTCGGGACACTCTATATCTTATAGCATTTAGTCATTCAATGATCTATCGAAATCACGATAAAGATCTATTATACCCAATTATGAAGGGTATTATAGCTTCAATACAGCCGAAGTTAACGTTTTCCTTGTTTTTAACTTTATTTCATCGTGATTTGCAGTTTTCTATGCTAAGTTATTTTAATGATAACAACAACAAGGTTGAATCTCGAAGAAGTTTCAATTCTCTAAATTAATTTAATTCAAATTAAGCTTCTTTAATATATTATCAAAAATATACGAATTTTCTTATGTACAGGGTGTACCACGTATTGTCGAAATTATCAATGCGACAAAAACAATTTCAACGCCCATTATAACAGCTGAAATTGAGAATAACACCAGCATGGAGTTTGCGCGTAAAGTGAAGGCGCGCATTGAGAAGACTACGCTCGGCGAGGTAAGTGAAATTGCAACATAGTAACAGTATATTAACTTATATGCGTTATTTTGAACAACATTTTCATGCAGATTTCATCTTACATCGAGGAGGTGTATAGGCCAGATGACTGTTTCTTAGTTATACGCCTGGATTTGAACCGCATTAAAGTTTTAGGTTTAGAGATTAATGCCGAAACAGTACGCTACTCGTAAGTACACATCGTAAATCAACTAAATTACGTAATTTTAACCGCTACTTCCGTTACACACCAGCATTTGCACGTCGAAGCTGCGCATCAAACCGGCGTTAGTGGATGTTGTCGGCTCCTCAGTAATAACCGTACACATTGATACTTCCAAACATGGCGCCACACTCAACGCCGAACTGCAACGCCTCACCATATCCATACAAAATGTCGTCGTTGCCGGTTTGCCGAATATTTCACGCGCTGTCATTGCTATTGATGATGCACACACGCCAGCCACATATAAATTGTGCATTGAGGGCGCAGGCTTACGCGATGTTATGGCCACTTTTGGTGTTGTCGGCGCACGCACCAAGAGCAACAATATCTGGGAAGTTTATAATACATTGGGCATTGAAGCGGCACGCACCACCATAATGACGGAAATCACAGATGTGATGGAAGGTCATGGTATGAGTGTTGATCATCGTCATATTATGCTGCTGGCCAGTCAGATGACGTCACGCGGTGAAGTGTTGGGCATAACGCGACATGGTTTGGCCAAAATGCGTGAGAGTGTCTTCAATCTGGCTTCGGTAAGTATTGAAAATAAATTATTTTTATTTTATTTCGTTTGCCCCTTCATCTATCTATTTATCGAAAACTAAGCATTAAAAAAATATCGAAAACGATCGCAAAACAGCTGTTAAGTCTATGAAATCAAAACAGATCCGAAGATGCACCCGGCCGAGGACTGTCAAAGCCCCCTTGTTATATTGCGAATGTTTTCAAAAATCTTATTCAAGCACCCAAATTCCGTATATGTTGTTTTTCGTTCGTCCGCTTAATTTTAACTCAATGTAAAATTTAGTGTGAGAAATATCCTAAAAATAGCATAATCTAACTCGATGTCAAAACCTCATCGGTCCGTACGTAACATCCTACCCTCCATTTTTATACCCTGAACATGAGTTTGCAACAAAGCTTGTAACACCCCGAAGGAAACATCGCACAACCTATCAGCGTGACGAGCTGAGTCTGTATATACGCGGATTTGTCCCTCTGTTTTTGAGATATCGATCTGGAATTTTGTACACGTTCTTTTCTCTTCAAAAAGCTGCTCATTTATCGGAACCACCGATATCGGACCACTATAGCATATAACTGCCATAGAAAGTTATCGATCAACCAATCAACGTTCTCACGACAGTCGGGTCTAACTAACCGGAACAGACCCGGATTTTTATTCCGCCAAGTACTGTCAACTCGGTACCATTCCTTTATAAAAAAAAACGTTTATTTGACGAGATATCTTTACGAAATCCGACATGGATTTTTGTCGAAGACAACGCTACAATCTTCGAACAAATTTTTCATATCGGATCACTATAGCAATTAGATGTCATACAAACTGAACGTTCAAAATTAATTTCTTGTATGGAAAATTTTTTGTTTGATAAGATATCTTCCGAAATTTAGTGTGGATTTTGGTTCAAGGCAGCGGCGCAATTTTCGAACAAATTATGCAGATCGGACCACTATAGCATATCGCTGCAATACAAACTTGCTTGTCAAGATAAATATCTTTTTATACTCTTTTATGCTATAAAAAATACACCTATGAAGGGTATTAGGCTTCGGTGGAGCCGAAGTGAACGTTTTTCTTGTCTTTTTTTTTTTGTTTAAATCATTAATTGTATCCGCCAAAACACCCTAAAACTTAATAACAACATTTTACAGTTCGAAAAAACTGCCGATCATTTATTCGATGCCGCCTACTTTGGTCAAACGGATGCAGTGGATGGTGTCTCCGAGCGTATTATACTGGGCATGCCCGCCTCCATCGGTACCGGACTCTTTAAACTTATACACAATCATGAGGACACGGCATTGCCGGAAGTGGAACCGCCATTATTTCATGCTGTAACAGCGTGACCTTTGTGGTAAATGGACTATACCAGATCGGTGATAATTTTGCATGTAATTTATTGCAAGAAATACTGTTAATTCTACGAATGTAAGCGAGCGAAACGCAAAATGAATTTCTAGGAAGTATATATATTAAAAAACTAAAAGTCGATGTGATTTTCCAAAAAAAATTTTAATCTCAAAAAAAACGCCATTTGATTATATAATTTTTTTTTTACTTCGTTAAAATACCGTAATTACGCTCACTTAAATAACTAAATTTTATGTTCTCTGCTTTCGCAAGCGATTTGCAGCAGTTCTCTGTTACTTATTTTACATTGCTACTATACCTACGCACACAAACACATTTTCGTAGAATGATTTAACACTAATTATAATGATTTCAGTTAATGCTTTTGGGCGTAAATAAGCACAGAATTTGTTTAAATGTGTAACTAAACGCGTATTATTTAAAAGTAGATTCGTACAGCATCATCGGCATTCTGTTCAACGGGGCAGTAGGGACATTTAAGTATGTGACCATTACTAAGCTTATGCAATGCATCATTGGAGATGACATGTCCGCAAGTTAATTTCTTCGGCGGATTATCTTCCGTGGTTTGCTGACGTAATATGGGACAAGCGAAAATTGAGTGATAACGATACTCGGGATCAAGATCAATTTCGATTGGCAACTCGTCGCGCGCATTCCAAATACTCAAAACTTGACGTGACTGCATAACCTGAATTTGAGAAATTAAAGCGCAATATGTTAGTGCATTTTTTTTTAACAATAACATATAATTACTAACCTGTTTAATATTGAGCAATGCGGGCAACGCTGTACAACCCGCATTAATAACTACTGATAAAGCCGAATTTTTGCTAATACCCAAAGTGTGACACGCATCCTTCATGAAGACATAGGATGCCTCCATCCACACCTGTGGCGAGATCAAGTGCTTATATGGCGAATTATCTATGCCCATGGGTAAGTATATGAAGCAGCCCATTAAATTTGGTATTTCGTGTTCGAAACGATCGATAAATTTGCCGAAATTCTTGCGTGCATATGCAATCGCCTCGGCTTGTGCGCTTATGCCACGTGACATTATTTGTAGAAATGCTAAACGGTGTAATTTAAATTCAAGTGTGGAATTTTTGGCAATTAATTCCTCGGAATAGCGTGTTGCCCACTCTAAAGCCGGTCCCAACTCCTGCTGTTGTATACCTTTCCAAATGCGATAAATCTCTGCAAAGCTACTCTCTGAATCAAACACTTCTTGTGCCATCTCCTCGGGCATGCCCGATTCTTTTATTAACAAACGCGCTACATCATCCATGCCTTGGCGGCAGTAATGCTTGGCCATTACTTTATTCAGCAGCATTAGGTTCTCTTCATCTTGTAGCGCATCAACACGCGTTGTAGCCGTGAAGTCCGAAACGAAATTGCGATCAATTACTTTGCCAACTTTGGAGACGGCGCCATGCAAATCGCGATGCTCTGCTGATATTCGTTGCAACTTTTCGTTAGCTTTCTGTAGTGTATCCAGCACGTGTTTGACCTGACAATCATTAAGTCTTGGTTTTGCAGCTGCAATGCAAAATTTATTTATACAAATAAAGGTAGTGAATGCTACAACTTACGTTCCATTTCAACTTGCATGTCCGCTTCATCAGCCATTGGATCATCTACATCGGAGGGTGCATCTACTTGGGTGCTTGTATTTATTGTGCCTGACATTTCTTGTTCGGCCTTGTTTAGCACTTTCATCAACTCTTCCAACAATGTAGCGACATCGGCGATTTCGGCTGCAGCATTTTCACGTATATCTTTCAGTTTATATATAACACGATCCAATTCCTTGCCTACTGCGTTCAAAGCTTCTACATCAGCGCTTTGCATTTTGTCGTTAACACTAGCAATATGATATTAATATTTATTTGTTTTACGTTGCGTTTATTGCGTGTTGTTTTCTAGGACAATATTCCAAAAAAAAATGTTACAAAATTGTTTTTCTTTTGTTTGGAATTTTCTTTGTCTGCGTATTTGATGGTCTTATCTGCTCAACACTTCTGTAAAAAAAAATTTGTTTTAAGTATTTGATGTTTCGTTGCTCCTGTTTCTATTAAAAGCAAATAAATATAAAACACATGATCAAATATTAAAATTTTAGCAACAAAATGAGATTTATATTATTAAAAATATTCAAAATTATTTGTTTTTCTTACGTGCTTAAGTTTACTTTTCCTTGCTGAAGAAGAATCGACTGCTTTTCACATTTCTTGCTTTGATCCCAATTCGCCGTAATGCCAGATGTAAACTTTATTACAACTTGCAATAGTGTTTTTTTTTCAATGCTTTAAGTAGAAACCGCAAATTTTAATCAAACTACAAATAAAATTTTTAATTTTAATCTTTAATGCAAGTATATACATAATGAAAATAAATATAATTTATTTAAGTTTGAATAAAAGTTTTTATGTGCCAAAAAATTACTCATATGTAATTGGCAATAACAACTAGTTTTCTATTGTGACTTGTGCCAGCAAAAAGAAGCGGAATATGTTGAAATATTTTTGTAAACAAAAGTGCAATACTTCATCATAAGTTAAAGAAAATAGTAAGCTACAAAACTGCACAGCTCAAAATGGATAAAGCCGATTCCACGCAATCTTCTAATCCACGACGCAAAATCCTAGGTTTGGCAGTGTCACAAATTTTAATGGAAAAAGGTTTTGACAACGTTGACAAGGAGTGTCTGGAGACGCTTACAGAAATGCTACAAAGCTGTGAGTTTTTTTTTACAGTTATTAACTTTTTCTAAAGCCTTAAGGAATTTATCAATTCTAGTACTTGTGGAGGTGGGACAATCAGCACGAAGCTTCTGTGAGCTTTCCGGACGTACCATACCTGTAATTGGTGATGTGATTGTAGCACTTGTGAACATGGGCATATCACTACAGGGTATTGAAGCGTTTGCAAAGCGTGATGGGCGTCAGATAATACCAATGCCATCACAAGCATCACAACAGAAGCAACTAAATCTACTACAAGCGGGCACAAAATCTTCACATCCACCGCATATGCCAAACTATTTGCCGTCATTGCCTGATCCGCACGCGTATGTGCGAACACCGGTAATTAATAAGTAAATATAATTTACTCAAATTTTGTGTAATATTTTGTTTACACGCTTGTAGACGCATAAACAACCTGTGACAGAGTACGAAGCCATACGTGAAAAGGCAGCTAACCAAAAAAGAGATGTTGAAAGGGCGTTAACAAAATTTTTATCAAAAACATCTGAAACGCACAGTCTTTTTGACAATGAGGACAACATGTTTCCTTGTGAGTTAAACTACTAAAATATTAATGTGCCAAATTAAATGAAAAATTTAAAAAATGTTACAGTAATTGCCTGCAAACCAGCATTCCCACCATATCTGGCCGCATTGAATCCCACTGATCAGGTATTTGACTTTGAAGAGTTGGAGTATCACTACTTGGTGGCAAATCGTACAGAGGATGTGACATCCAAAGGTAAACGTAGTGCAAAAAAAAAATTTCTTCATTCTTAAGTACACGCTGTGTTATATCTTTTAGATGACAATGACGAAAATGAAAGTGGTAATGAAGATGAGGGTGATGGCGAAATGAAAGCGGAGACAAAAAGTGAAAAAGACGTAAAACCCGAAAATGACATCAAGCCTAATTCAACCACCAATAAGGCTATTTTAGAGAATCCAAATATAGATAATCCATATCTAAGAGCAGCAACGTTGCCTAAACGCGCAAAACCGGATCCCGCACTGCTTGTTGCCACTGCAACCGCTTCGTCGACAAGTAGTGGTGCGGGTTACTAACGTATTATATTAATTTATTTAATACTTTGATAAAACCATATTATTTAGTAAAAACAAAAAAAAAAATAAATTAAAAAAATGTTTAACATTTCGTTATATCTTTAACAATTTTTTTGCACTTAAAATGGCGCCGTCACATTTTGCTAAACGACAGCGTAGTAATTTGAATCAGCTGTTATTCAGCCGGCAAGTGTTGTTTACAGTTACCGGAAAGAATTTGCGTATGAAGCAGCGAACAAGTCAAATTAGCAATGCATATAGCAACAAACATATATACATACAAACATACAGGTGAAGCGTTATAAAAAGTGAAGCTATTTATTAAATTTTGCACAATATGCTAAACTTTTTGAAACAAGCCCGCAGATTTTTTGATTCGGCAGTATGTATATATAATAATTTAATATAAACAAATTGTTTAACGAGTGCTTCTTTAGGAGCCCATTTGCATTGTTTTGGGCAATGAATCGTGCGATTTGGATTCCGCGGTTTGTGCAGTCACTCTCGCCTACCATTATCAACAACAAAATGATGTCTCCAACAACCAAATCACGCGTAATTTTCTGCCAGTCCTCAATATACCACGTCGTGATTATACGCTTAAAACTGAAGTGAATTACATTTTCCGCCAACACGCTATTGGTGACGAGCATTTAACTTTTCGCGATGACCTACAGGAGGATCTTTTAACACGCAGTGAATTTATTTTGGTAGATCATCATGTTAGCCCATTTACTACACGTTGTCTGGAAGTTTTTGATCATCGCATATTTGATGAGCAAGCACAGCTATCAAATGTTTGCCAACTACATATAGAATTAGTAGGTTCATGCGCGACGCTAATAGCAGAAGAGATACTTAAGTCTATATCAATGCCTGACGCTGTAGCTAAAGACTATGAGACACTATTTACGTTGTTGCGCAGCACAATAGTGCTAGACACAGTAAATTTCAGTGCGTCTGCTAACCGTGCAACACCAAAAGATATCGAAATCTGTGCAAAACTTGAAGAATTGTTGAGTAAGCTAAGTAACGGCAAGCCTCTAAGTGAGCGCACGAAATTATTCGACATTCTAGTGGCGGCGCGCGCAGATATTAGCAGCTTAACATCAATGCAGCTTTTACGCAAAGATTTAAAAATACTTTCAAATGGCAATGGCAGTGTGAATATTGCTATACCAGGTTTTCCAATGTTAGTGCAGCAATTTATAGAGAGAACAGATGCAGCGACTGCGGTTAAAGCATTCGCAGAGGAGACAAATTCTGTAATTGTAATACTAATGGGTATGTTAGTCAAAAATGGCAACGTGCAACGTGATATTGGTTTGATAGACTTTAAATCGAAACAACTATGTCAAACGATACGTGAAACCCTTTTGACAACCACTGAGCCAGCGCTTGGTTTACAGCATTATGAAAATTGCAATTTTCTTAACGGCAGCTTGTATAAAATATGCAACATAAAAGCGACACGCAAGCATGTCTTACCACTGGTGAAACAACTTTTAGACCGAATGCAATAGTTTGTTAAAGCATAGTCAGGATTCACAAAATAATTTGCTTTATTAGATGCTCTAAAAAAATTAATTTATTTAAAATCATTAACAACCAGTTCTTCAAATTTCTTCGGCTCCAGCTCCAGCACCATCATCAGCATTATCTTCACCCATGGCGTCATCTTCACAGTCCAACGCTAGATCTTCCAACATTTCTGCCAGCGTAATTTGTGGCACGCTATCGTTTGCCGCTTGCTTATCATTACTATCCACAGGCAGTGCCTTTTTAGCATCACGATAAATGTTAATCTGTTTGCGATAATCTGCGTCCTCTTCTAAATCTTCAAGGAATTCATGGAAGTCATGTTTGCTGCGTTCATCCGTTGCCTCATCGGCTAAATGACGTAACTTCCAATTACGGCTATTCGTACGTGTTTGGCGATCAGCGTAGCACTTACGCACCAGCAGCACATCAGGAATTTGATCCGCAGACAAATTCTCAAATTCAGTGTTGTTTAAATTCGCTTCACCTAAATTGTAGCCCATTACAGAATCGCCTACCTTTAGCAAATGACCAAGATGTGAACGTGTGTGTATCGTATTTTCATTGATGCCCAACTCGGAAGAACGCACCACCCAAATATCGCATAAGACATGACGAAATGATACTTGACCTGTGCCGGGTATGTGTTTACGATCTTTATCCATGATTGGTTCAATATCCATAACAATATATTCGACCAATTGTTTCGGATCACATAGCGCTTCAAAAGGATTGCGGAAGTACATCTGTCCTGGCAATTCAGATATTTGCGCAGTCATTGGATCGATTAAATGTATGCCTGTGGCTACTTTATACACCAAGCAAACGGGTGAAAGACTACCCAGCTGTTGACGCAACTTCTTTGACAAACAAACTGCACTATCCTTCGATAATGGAGCTATTTCCACACACCATGTGTACTTGTAATTGAAATTGTTGCTATGAATGTCATGCGAAATCAAACGTTTGGACGTGGTCACCTTAACTGGCACCATATACTGCAAAAAGTCAACCATCTTCTTTGCATGATTGAAATTCGCATAATAGAAATCCAAACCACCATGCAATGCCTTAATGCCCAACGTATTTTCGTGCGCTTTATGTTTCAAAATCAGCTGTTCCAAATAGTAAAACGTCTTTTTGTTTTCAGCGCGTTGTCGCACCTGCACCAGGCAATGCCAGAAATCTTTCGCCTCGGTACGATGACAATCATCACACATTTGATTCTGCACAGTGAATTCTACGATGAATACCTGTTGCAGCACGGTCCCTCCATTAATTTCACCATGTACTGTCAATTTGACTTTTATGCGTTTGGAATGTGGTTCTGTCCAGACGAAACCGGCATCCACTAACTTGACAGCTTTTAAACCTTTCAACTTTTTTAAACATAAAGCCAGCAGCTCTCGCGACTCCAATGCTGCGGTTACCCACTCACCAGGCGGCTGTAAATAGCGTTCACAGTTGCGACAAAAATGCAATACTGCCTGTTTCGGTATGTTCTCCGTGATGTCTATATGATTGCGTAGACATGTTACACACATATTAGAAGGATTTGGTTCGATTGGCACGCCACATTCGCAACACAAGATCATGGTCGTTTTTGTGGGCTGTGACGACGGATCTATGTACTCCATGCTTTGATTTGTATTTAAAATTGAAAAATCACAAACAAATGTAAATAGTTAGGATTTGGCGAGGCTGCTACTTTCAAATATATTTAATATGAGTTTTTATGCGCAGTTTGCTTTTTGTTTTGAAACACGTGCAGAAATAAAGTGCACTTAGCTGGCAGTCAACACAAATGAAAATGAATTGCCAACTATGCTTGTAAAAGTGAATTGCTGATTATGGTGAAATGCTAAATATCGTGCACAGTAGATATTTTCATAATCTATGTTTAATTTTTAAGTACAATTAGAAAGCAAATAAAGAATATCAAGAAATGTATTGTGTTGGTCGGTCAAATTAATTTTTTTTTTATTACAACATGCAAGCAAAAGTTGTCGATTTTCCAATAGCGATATTCCCTTTTGCACCAGGCGCGCAGAAATTAACAGGTCGTTGCAGTATTGCCAACTGTCATTTGTATATTGAGGTAGTTGGCAGCTGTATTTGTACGTTGTGTGGCGTTGGCAACGCATGTTGAAAATAAAATAATAATGTGTAGGTATGGGAACGCCGTATTGGGCGCAAACTCCATCGTAAAGGGGAGAGAAATATCAGCTGATAAGTTGTAAACAAAGTTACAGCCGAGAGATGTTCATGGAGAAGTGACAATGGAAGCCTGGGGTTGAATTTTTATTACCATCAAATATGGCCGACTTTTGACCGGAAAATGTATTTATTGTTTATTATCTTGAAATTTATTGAAAAGTTGTCCAAAATATATTGGTTATAATAATTTTGCACGTTTATGAGCGCCTTGTACATCGGCGACTTGCGATTCAGTTAGATTTTGATTTCAACATTATGCGGCGTATGCACACGCATATTTCTTGAACAGCATACAGTTGTGCGCAATATTGAATGCAAATTAACAATTAGAACAATTTAAATAAAAATGCGTTATTTTTCCTAATAATATATTTGATTTTGTAACAATTTCATAATTTTTGATTTTAGTGTAACAATTTCTTTTGCTTGACAAATAAATATGCGATTAGATTTATCACGAAAATTCGTACCGATTTCACTGAGAATTGAATTTACAAAATATAACTTTAAAAAGCGCAAACTCTTTACATCATAAAAAGATAACTTTTAAACTTTGAGCTTAATAAATTAGCACATAATATACAAAATTTCGGAAATAAAAACAAGTGTATACGTGGAAGCATTACAAGATTACATAAATATTGTGCGTTCACGCATTCAATGACTTTTTATCAATTCATAGCATATATGCATCTGTGTATAGCTCAAAAACTCAATAGTTTCTTAAAAATAAATAAGCTGGAGGCACTAAAAAGTTGGCTATTTGTAACAATATATACGGTTTATGCTTACGTTTGCTCTACTGTGTTGGCGAGAACTCAGTAGGAGCTAAAATGCGTGTATGCATATCTTTTATAAGTGGCACAGTATAGGCGACACACTCGTCCCAACCGGGAGAGCGCCAGGCAGCTTCACGTGTCTCCTTGCGGTCCAATAAGGACTTATAGCCTGTAAAATAATTAATTATATATAGCAAAGTAATTTTACAATAATTAAAATAAGTGTGGTATACATACACCAAATATGATGCACATTGTAAAGCCGGCCAACTTGTGAGAAGAAACCAGCAAAAGCTTCGTTGTTATGTTTACGGAAGTTAATGGCACGCGCCCAATTGTTGCCCCATTCGATCATTGTGCCAGGTTTTAAACGATATGAGCTAGAAAAAATTTTAAAAAGTATAAATTTAAATACTCATATTTCAAAATTTCTTCACTAACTTACCGCATTTCGTAGATATGTTTGCCTGGACGAAATTCAATTTTAGGCCAATAACTGAATGCTAACAGATATTGTAAATGACGTGAACGTAAATATTTTATGCGCTCATTCATTAAACTTACGTACTCCTGCAAATATGTATTAGGTTCAGTATCTTTAACAAACAATTATTTATATATTTAGCTAAAATAACCTCATCATGCCACAAATCTTCCTTTGCAATATCAATCTTCTCAAAGCCGCCAGTGTATTTCCATAAATGCAAACATTGATCCATATCACCAACATGCACGGTCCATGATGCGACCAAATTACACGACAAATTCGCTTTCTTATCATTCACCAATTGTACCGAAGTTTTGCTAAATTGTTTATAAACAAACAGCCATTCAAATGTATATAAGTAAATATAAATGTACGTCAGTGAACGTCATTAAATTTAGTGATTGCAGAATTAGTACTCACTAATTTTTCAAATAATCATCCATATAACCGGGACGTACATTGTGCGTATGCAAGGCATAAATGATTTCCTTATCACTAAGCATTCGACTGTGCGATTCTTTAGTTGGTTCAATTTTACGCACCAACAACTTGGAAAACCATGAGTCTGCTTCGTTGAGTGGTGCTGAGGTAGCTATGGCGCTATTTAAAAACAATTTGTACATTTTATTTATCTCCTTAAATAACGTATTTGACTGTGTTCGCTTACCGTACTGTTGTGTTGTTGACAACATTCGATAAATTCTTTAATTTAATCATTTTGCTTTTTGTTTGTTAAAATCTACAATAAAAACAATAAAATATTACACATAATAAAATAGTATATCTAAATCATTTAAAACGCTCTTTAAAACTATGATAAGTGTAAAGAGTATTTTCTTTGAAAGTAAGTCAATTTTAAAATAACAAATACAAGGGGGAAAAGTCATTAACTGTACTGCCGGGCTAGCTCCAGCTATAAAATGTTTTCTAATTTGCACCTCATAAGCAGCGGTATAACAAATAAAATCGAAAAACCAGAAAAAAAAAATTATATGGATGTACAATATATATAAACAAGTATGTACATAGCACATATACGTAATATCAGCACGTATGGCATCAAAAATTATCTGAATAAGTAAAAAAAAAAAAAATAAAAAACAAAAACAAAAAAAAATATAGCGCTATATGAATATGCTTACGTACGTACATATGTATATACTAAATTATTGCTGGTTTCTGACGACATTTGTTCGGGACGTGCGGTGCTTTTGTTGTACATCTCTTCCATTAGTCTATTTTTGTCCGTGCATAATATAGAAATTGTTTTAACAAATTTGCACACACATACATATGTATGTACATATACACCAGAAACCATTGAAGGGATTTTGCCGATGTAGGCAAAATTGTATTTGTCGTTTTGTATTAGTTTTGTAGTGGTAAAATTTTTTGGCTTATCACTAATCATGCACTCCATTGTTACTCGAAATGATACTTAATTAGTTGCAACCAAATGCGCCGCAATTTGTCTAAAAAGACTTTAACATAACATATTTTCGCTTTACAGTAGGCATCTAAGAATGTAGTAGTATGTATGTGCCGCAAAATGAATTGTTTGGTATACTTTTTAAAAATTTCAATTACCTTTCTCCCTTTTTAATGCCGTATATGCAGGAAAAGTCGTTGTGCGGTAACAGCACCAAACTGTGGCAATAGCGGCGATAGTTTTTCGAGTTCACAGCAGTAGCAACTATAAAATTGTTTAAACTCAAAGCAAAGTACAAATAAACGATTAACTGAAAAAATTATGAAAATTAAACGGCTGCATAAACTTCTACTATGAGCGCTCCACTTTTTCTGTTGCTGTTAAAAAGATTCACCCTCGCTTTTAATTCTTTCTCCGCTCTTGCTCCACCATTGACAATTGCAATAATTGATGACAGCTGTTTGGCATTGCCAACCACATGTATGTGCTGTTCTATCAACAGTGACAGTTGTAAATTTATGCTAAAATGCAAGGTTTGTGCTGCCAGCCACTAAAACTAATTTAAATAGTATTTGCATCATCGTAAAAATATACCGTTATCAACTCTAGATATAAAATGCACTGACGCTATTTGGTAAGATATCTGTAAAAGCGCGATTCACGTAGCACGCAAAAATTCAAAATTCGCGATACTTTTTGAACCAACTTCGTATTTGGTCAAAAACAACAAATTAATGGTGCCGTAGCCACCGTATTGCTTAGACCTGGCCGCCTGTGACTTTTTTTGTTCCCAAAACTGAAGAGGCCCATGACTTTTTAAGTGCTTTGACGATTCAAAAACACGCTGGCAAAAATGCACTATATCTAGGAGTGATTACTTTGAAAGCTACAAAATAGATGTACATGAATATATACAAAACCCCGATACTTCTTGAAAAACCCGAATCATGTTTTGTTAACAGCATGAAACATCTTTCTATAACCAAAATCAAAAACAGTTATAAATAATTATTACAGCGTTTATTGTGAATGTACGCTTGGTAGGTGGGTATGTACTGTGAATGGGCACTTTCGCTACTGCCTTATACCATGATTTTCATTCAAGAACTAAACAAAAGTATTTACATGTGTAATTGCTGTTTTGTTGGCTTCCAAGCGCATTCTTATAAATGAATAACGGGTTTAGCACAATTGAACGAAGTTGCTTGAGCCAACTGCATCCCGCGGCAGACACAACAATTATGACTTGAGGATTAAACACCGCATTCTTTGTGATCATGCGTACATACCAAAATTATTTCATGCCAAAATAACGCTTACCTATTTTGTATTTTCTCTTTAGGACTCAGTATAAAAATTAGGGCTCTTTAATATGTTCGTACGAATATTAACAATGTTACGACTACGACTACTAGTCGAATACCGAATGGTGCAAACCGAATATTGTTATTCGAGTAATGTCCTATTCGGTTGATCCAGATAGTCGTTTAGTCGAATACCAAGAGTTCTAATACAAACCTTTATAAACCAATTTTTTATTATTATTATTTTCAATTCAGTTTTATTTATCAGCAACGGCACGTAAAGTATAAATATATATATATATATATGTACATATGTATGTATATATGTTTCTACAATTTTGCGATTTACAGTTAAATTAATTAAACATAAAATCGTATTTTTATTATAAATATAAGGAAACAAGAACAATATTTACCAACTAAGCGTTACAACGAATTATTTTTCATGTATCATTGAAAGTATGTATGTACATATTTTTATATAGAAGATACGTATATTTGTAATTTAATTAATTGTTAATAATCACGATACCTTTCACTTAAATATAATTGTGTTACTTTCATGTCTTTCTAATGTTCACTATAATTAATCAGTTCCTAGGCTGTATTTACATTAAGTAAGTCTTTTCTTGGCGCGATACTATAATAATAATAGGAATTTAAATGATATATAAATAATTTACGTTAGTAACTTTTTTAAAGTACTTATTTCACATTTGCTTGTTACTTGCTTATACGTATTATCCATAGCGTAGTTTAGCCTTCCAATGCATTTACGAGTAGTTTCACTTTCAAACTTTGTTACATGGTTCTTTAGCTGCTTAAAATTATCACGAAACCACATATTCACCTTAAAGTGAAGCTAATCTCATAATTAACTTTATATACTACATATATAAGTACGTACATATATGTATAGGAGTATATATATTTACACCGCTCAAGCGTACCTGATTTTGTGACTCGCCGGACATGGTTTAATATACTTTTGTTTCACACTTAGCTTGCGGTACTTTGTCATATCGGTTGGTGTCACCAGGACACGCGGCGCTATGTTGTACAGCAATTTGAATTTAGATATATTGATGCTAGTCTCCACGGTATTGGCTGCAGCAATTTTGATGAATATTTTATTCAAATCCACTGGTTCGGGTGTCTGCCCATAATAGCTGAACGGTTGCAGCTCTGTTTGTGCCATTTCATTGTCACTCACACTTAACGGATCAATATCAATGCTGTCAGTGGCAGCTGTGAAGGTAAGCATGGGAGCGGGTGGTGGCAGTAAATCCAGGTTATGTTGCAATTTGCGCTTTTTCCCATTGAACAGACGCGCTGCAGTAACATCATTCGCAGTCGCATTCATTGTAAAACGTGTAATTGCAGTCTCGTCTCTGCCCAATGCAATTGTGCTGCGGCGTTTCATAATCTTTTGCGCTTTGAAGGCGGTTTGTAGGTCCCTGACATTGTTGCCTGCAAGCTGTAAAGCGGCCGCCGTTGAGGCAGATGCGCTTTCTGGCGTTACTGTTGATGACTGTTTTGCTTCGCTACATTTCTTTGCAACCAGCCGGCCTAGAGATAAGCGCGGTATAGGCGGTTGCTGTGAGGTTTTTTGTATTTCCTCATACAGTTGCTTTATATGCTTATTGCCGTACTCCTTCAGACACTGAGTTAAACGTAGATTGTACAAGTCGATGGTTAGACCATTTGGGAATATTACCAGCATTTGTTGTAAGAATTTACTAATTTCTATAATGGTATATATTGTGCAGAACTTTTTGATCTCCTCGCGATGATCCGAGTAGCAGTGTTGCATGTAACCATTGAATGTTGTTTGCGGTTGTGCGCAAAAACAACAACGCTTAAAGCCGCTATAATGATCGATCATGTGACGTAATACGGTCATTTCCTGTTGTGACGAATACGGACAAAACGCACAAGAATAGATCAGCTTGTTAAAGATCTTTTGCGATTTCATATCGCACTCATTAGCGCGCTCCAAGACATGCGCCTCGAAGGCACTTTGATCGGCCAGCAGTTCCATGCAGCTGAGGCATTGCACGTAACTTAAAGGTGTACCGATAGTTTTCAGTTTTTCTAACTGTGCAATTGACATGGTTTTCAGATCGAACGGTTTGTGACGCAAACGCGTAGTATGCTGTGCTAAATGTGGCAATGTTTGGCCACGATACGCGCAATGACCACAGGTTAAACCAGCGGCAATGGCTTGTGGATCTGCGGCTAAATATTTGGTTGCCTTGTGCATCGCCTTCATATGTTCCACTAACTGAAGACTATTGCCGACAAACGAAAGGCAATGTGCACATTTAAGTTGGGTGCTAATGCGAAAGCGCAACGGTTTTTTCGCATCGTATTTCGTACAGACCGTTGCTTGCCAATGTGCCTCAAAGAGTTCTTTAGGGCTTGCGCATTGGGCATAACAATAGTAGCAAATTAGTCCAAATTGATTTAAATTTATATTCTGAAAATTTTTAAGTAAGTTTAAGATTAATATACACATTATATTAACTTGTGAAAAACAACAGCAATAATTTGCTTTACGTCGACGACATTTTTTTTGTAAATTTTACACAGAAATAGAATTGGCATGCATTACGAGAAAATGTCAAGTTTATAGCTGTGTTCCGGTGGTGCAACGTGTGCTTAATGAAATCATTAAATAATACCCCGCTACAAACAATTCATACCGCTGTTTTGCAATTAAAACCTATACAACAAATGCTGAATATTGTATTTCCAACTTATCAATTGCAGCCTGTCATAAATTGTGTCAACTTTTTTATGCATGCACATTTTTATTTGCTTTTGAAACATTTAATACCGGAACGCAGCTATAATAAATGAATAGTTATTTCTGTTGGAAGCTTAGTGTGAATTTGACAGTTAAAAGCATTAATTGATTTATATTTGCGTATTATTTCAAGAAATTTTTAAATTTAATTCAATTTGCATCCCACAGCAAAGCCTGATTGCAATCTTCATCAACATTTTCAATTCAAATGTGTATAAGCATTTGACAATGAACAGCGAAAATTGCATATACACAAGTGTAAACATGTATGTACGAGGTGTGTTCAAAGAAAAAGGTGACTATTAAATTTTTTTGAAAAGTATTTATTTATTCATCATTATCTATTTTGTCTCCTTCAAAGCAATCCTCCTGATCTCATCAAATGTGGCGAAACGCTTTGCTTTCATTGGTTTCTTCAGTTTTGGGAATAGGAAAATGTCGCAGAGAGCCAAATCAGGTGAATACGATGGTACCTGGAACAAACTTTGCTGCCCCACATTTCATGCACAAAACATTCGAGTAAATTGAATGGCATCAGCCGATTGATATGCCAACATCCTCTGCAACTTCCCTAATAGTGATTCGACGATTTTCAAGAACAATTTTTTCTTCGCTTGTTGACGTGGCCGCACCTTCAGGATGTTCATCGTCATCAACATCTTCTTGGCCTTCTGTAAAGCGCTTGTACCACTTATAAACACTTTTTTGAGACAAAGTGGACTGACCGAATGCCACAGTCAATATTTCCTTGTGTCTTGGATCACTTTTTTCCATTTTTAACGCAAAATTTAATAAATATTCTTTGATCCATTTCTTTCAAATGTCAAAAATCGAAGAGCACACAAAAACAGGACTAACCTTTTCTGTTGTCAAAAACAAACTACTAATCGAAATTGGCTCCTAATGCAAGCGCATGATAAACATGTGTGTCCGATTATAAAAAAAAAACTGAATATCGATAATCGAATGTACACAGCGCGCGAAAAATCAAAATTCACATTTTCCTTTGAACACACCTCGTATGATTGTATACGAGCATTGTAAATATAATATAAATATTTATATTTATACTTGTATTCATATACTTGTATTAAGGAAAAGGAGCAGCTACCCGGTTTTCAAACTAATTGAGAAAATGTTGGTCTGTTACTATGTGCCTATGTATACATAAATACCTTTGCAACTTTATACATATGAAATTGTTAAATTAAGGAATAAATGGCAACGTTACTGTTGTTGCCCTACTTACTTTATGTGGCATTGGCGGTGAATAGCCCAAATTTCGGAACTTAATCCATATATATAAAAGAAGATTTATGCTACATATACATACATACTACATATACATACATACATATGTACATATGTATGTCAAACGTTGTTGCTAAAGCACGTTTCAAATTGTTAGTCAACTCTCATTTACATGTACGAAATTTTATTAGCAATGTAATTATTCAAATTAATACACCAATTTGTATTTACTAAACTTTATTATATAAAAAACATTATAAAATAAATAAATAATTATTATTATACCTTATTTTACTTTAGTTAAAATCAATTTAAGGTTATGTTTTCTTGTTCATTAAAGTACTATTCATAGTAAATATTGCATTAAATATCAACTTCAGTTCAATTTTTTTTTATCTTCAAGTTATACTACTTTAAAAACTAAAAGCGTATATGACTATTTGCTTAACGAGTAAACTTAAACACCTACCTCATCGCCATCATCGTTTTCCAATATCTCGTCAATATCATCCAAACGTAAACGCTTTCTATAACGCTCCGACTCTTCTTCATCTTCCATTAGTATGCCGCGTATGTGACGTACACGTGTGGGATCGTCCCTTTGCCAGAGCGGGCGTGTATCAATTGTATTTACATTATTACTATCCTCTTCCTTGCCCTCCAATTTTTCAAACACATAGCGCGCTTCACGCTTCTTACCCGGGTGTTTCTCATCGACATGTGACATTACTTGTACTAGTTGTGTTGCATTAAATATGCAATGCATACATTGATATTGATTTTTACACGAATGTTGTGATGATGTATGTGCCATAATTTGTTGTTGTGTCATTGTTTTGTGACCACATAAATTGCATGCCCACTTTTGTTTACATTTGGATTTCAGTGTATCGGTTTCAGCGACTGGTTGCGCTATCGATGTGGTAGTTGATGTGTTATCGATTTTCTTGGCTACTTGATTTTCGGTGACGTAATGAAACACATAAAGTAAACATAAAGACAATAATTGAAGAATTAGTGTAAATTATAAGACAATTATAAGCGATACTTATAAATATTTATATGCGAAAAAATTTTGGTAAAATTTTGTTATTATCACACATTTGTCATGACTAAAAAATAAATAAGTATTATATTATTTGTGTATTTTTTCAGTTTTAGTCATACGTAAATCAGCTTTAATTTTTAAATTTATTTGCTTTTATTCTTCTTATTTAATGTACATATCTGTAATTTTATTTGGTTGTCCATTTAATTTATTCAATTTTGTAATTTTTAGATTTTTTTCGGCCGTAGGTCAATAGACAATATCTTCCCGTAGAGAATTCCTTTATAACGTGTAATTCGAAAAATATGCAATTTATTTCTTTAAAAACTTTTCTGTATATTCTTAAAATATGTATAAATGTACCCTTACAAATTTAAAACAATTGCTATTCCAATTTTTTTTTTTTTTTAAATTCAAAAAATCGCCTTTTTTAGGCTCTAATTCTAAGCGTACCCACTTAATTGCTTCTGATTTTTTATATTCCAATCATACTTAATTTATCAAGCTAATAAAACTTAATTTAAATAAAGTTAAACTATTTATTTGAAATTGATATATGTATATGAAAATTTTGCTATACATACATGTATGTATATGGTAATTTGATTAATTTATTCACAATCATGCATTTTTGATTTCATGTAATGTACATTTTTATTCATTTTCGAACACTAAACTTAATTGCAATTTTTTTTTTTTTGCATTCACAATTTACTTTTTCAACTTCACTGCACTCACTTATAACTATATAACTTTTCTATTTCATTTTGTTTCATTTAAATATATTATTTTTAAATTTTTTTCACTTATTATAATTATTATTTTAGTTTTTCATTTTATTTCACTTATTGTAATTGCTTTCTTTTATTTTTTCACTTTTTATAATTGTTTTGTTTTTTCACGTATGATAATAATTAATTTTTTTTGTAATATTATATTATTTCACTTATTATAATTTGTTTTCACCTCATTTAATTCCATTACCATGTTTACATAAGCACACATACACACATACCATACATGTATGTATTTTAACAGTTTGCTCTTCACTTACCTAAATTATCTTTCGTTCGATCGCACTCGGTCACCTTCACGAATTGCGGCGGTTGTACATCGTGCTGTCGTACATGCCGTTCAACCACAGTTCTCATGTAATGCATATATCCACAGGAGTCGCACATATACAATTTCGGTCCATGAAAACGTAAATGGCTCAAAATACGGTCAACTGACAGGCCACGTTTGCAAATCTCTTCCTTACAATGTGGACAATTATAAAACGAAATATCGCTGTGCAATGCATTTAAATGCGAACGAAAGATATCATCTGATATTGTTAGATATTGACAATTACTGACGCCACAAGTGAAACGTTTCGTATCCGGTACGTACTCATAAGCCAATTTATACTTGCCGTTAGCGCCGCCATTTGCAACGTTCGTGGCATTTGCGGCCGTATTGCCGACCACTAGTGAGGATGAAGCTAAATTTGTCATTTTATCGAAGTGTTTCTCACTTGAATTCAGGCATGGCACTGGATTGACGGGATCCACATTGGCCACAGGCTGCGCGCCGTTATTGCTGTCGTCGGTGTGCATTTGCAAGTGACGCATCAAATTTGTACGCACTTTTGTTTTATACGCGCAAATGGCACAATTCAAATCTTTAAAAAATATTGGCGTCAACGGCAATAAACCGATTTCACTCGGCTTAAAGTGTGTGCGTGCGCTCGATTTTTTACGTTGCCATTCGGCAATTAATTTCTCGCGAAATTGTTGAATTTCATATTTACTCAGTAGAGTTGTAAAAATCACATAGAACATTGTGGTGGAACTTTGTTTATAAGGTAACGGTGTGGAACGTAATTTCTTGGAATGCCAATGTCTCTCCTCGAAGTGTTTGTACATCTGTTCGACGTTGATGGAGGTTTGGGTGCAGAGATAACAGAAGTACTTGTGCACACCGTGTGTTTTGATATGTGACTTGATCTTTTGTGGCTTATGAAAGACACTGCTACAGTGTGGACACTTAAATGTACGGTTATGCACATTGTTCTGTCCAAGTGTTGATAAATGATAAACAACATGTGAAAAGAAACTGGATTCTGTCAATTTGGTTCTGCAGTCCTCAACGGTGCAGCGATAAAGTTTAAAGTCTGAAACCAGGAATGTTATTTTTGTACTATCTTTAAGTCTAAACAAGGCAGTATTGTCTTTAACTAACTCGCTAACTAATCAAAAGCAGGATAAAAGCGTATAACTTAAACCGCTATTCTCTTTCCCAACATAGTCGAGTTTGGTTTAGTACCAGACTTATTTATTTATTATATATTTTAATGTATGTACATATATTTTTCCGATGATACCTAAATGGAACATAAAATCGAGAACTAAAAGACATCGATGAAATATTTGTCTAAAGATTCCACTTAGCTCTGGTCACTAAATGACCAAAAGTAAAACTTTCTGAGGTAAAAGTTACAAAAATTCTAGAAAGTTAAAACTTTATATCATACAATCAATGAAAGTATGTATGTATATTATGACCTAATGGTTGGATTAAGCTTAAAATATTTAAGGAAACAAGTGGCTCCAAGGTCAATGAACTTGTATAGAGGAAATCTCAAGTCTCCAACATATAAGGCACCGTCAAACCGAAATATAAAATAGAACTGCGGCTGGGCTAAGAATTTGGTGAAGAAATGCCATTTGTTTAATGTGTTGGATCGGATGCACACAGTATTGCGATCTGAAGTACTTAAGGTGTACAAAGTATGTGGAATGAAAGTTAACTGATCGCATGTTCAAATCTCTCCACAAAATTATGTAATACATACGTAAATTTAAGCAAATCTATGCTCTCTGTGGGCTCATGCGATTGTATCTCGTATCAGTAAAGCGCACTTTGGCAACATAGCAAATTGTCTTGCAAGTCTTACAAGGATGGCTGTTGTACCTCAAATACTAGAAGTATAGCTAAATTTTCTGGAAAAGTCAAAAAGATGTGGCGTTGCTTGTTATCGGGTTGGAAAGGAAAAACCTGTGCTCCAGTGGTACGAATATCAGGACATAATTGTACTTATTAAACTACAGACATATATACATATTTATATTTACCTGGTACACCAGTTGCAGCAACAATTTCCTTCAAAGCGGTCTCCCATGTCTCTTGTGTGAAAGTCTGAAGCATTCCTTCTCCTTGCTTATTATTTGTATTCTTATTTGTACTTGTATTACCAACGGAGATTTGTTGACTTCCATCACTATCCGTATTACCAGCAATATCTGCCACAGTCTCTGTATCGGTAGAGCTACGCATGAACATGCCGTGCTTTTGTTCTGTATGCTGCACAAATCCATCTACATCTTCAGCCAAAAATGTGCATTGCGAGCAGCGCAGATATTCACGATGTGCGCTAAAGTTCTGGCGATCGTGGAAATGTAAGTGATCGACCATGGCTACGGGCAAGCGCGTCTGGTATTTACAACCATTCGCCATGCATTTAAATTGTGGTACCGTTGCGACAATAGCCGATGATGTGCTGGTATTGCTACCCGAGTCCGAACGGCTTGAGCGCTTTGAAGGATTGTTCGCAATCGATATATTGAAACCCAAGCGACCTTCAACGTATTGCGCTGAAACTGTTTGAGTTATCAGGTAATTACCGCTGGTGGCTTGTGCGACCGGCAAGGTTTCAGCAACCACTTCCGGTTCAGGTGAATCGGTGACGTCACGTGTTGCATTAGCTTCTGTGTTGCTCTCTGAATGTTTATTCGCGTAGGCATTGGATAATATACGCGATACTTCCAGAGACTCAGCGGCCGAACGTTCCAGTTCGGCACGCTCGTCCACTATGTGCTGAGCCCAAAGCGAACCGGCATTATTGACTGGTGACGATACGGAACGGGAATTTAAACTGCAAACATTTGAGATTACTGGTAGCGGTCCAGCCGATCCGACTGGATTGGAAAATTTTTTATCTTGCAAACTAACCACACTGGCGATTTGTAGTGTACATGGCGCGTTTGTGTTTGGCATTACGACATTAGGTGCACAAGCATTAGCTTGAACACCTATATTTTCAAAATGTCTATTCTCAACAGGTGGTTGCTCCACTGTACTTGGTAACTGATTTAAGAACGAAGTTGTAACCGTTGATACCAAACGTGGTTCTGTGGGCGTCAATTCAACAAGCTGTGCGTTTTCATCAAAAGTCGAAACTGACTTTGGGCTTTGATTCGAGTTAGGGGTTGGCGTTGTTGAAAGACAATCACCCGTCAATCGTCTAATCTTAATACGTGGCCTGTCTTCATCCAGCGCTGGGGAATTAGATTTAGATGGTTGCCGCAACTCGTCTACAACTGGTAAAACGGGTGCAGTGCTCGTGGCAGTCGAGTGTTTTGAACGCAAGTGAGCTAGTTCGGCAGAAAGTGGTAGTCTACTATCCGCAGTCGCATCGTCACATTCAACATTGGCTTTACAGCTGTGGCAGTAGCCATTCCAGGTAGTTTGCGCATGCTCGCAACTAAAATGACTCTCGAGTCCAATCAACTCACTTGAATAGAGAAAAGTACAGTTGTCTGAGAGGCAATAAAATTTGTATGTGTTATCATCCATCGACTTCGAAAAGCCGATATTTTGTATGCGCTGAATGGTTGGCAATATCATCAATGGAGCGATCGTATTGACATTACTCTGTACACTTTGTTGTTCTTTAACGAAATCTAAAGCCTCTTGCATGTTAGCCTGTTGACTATTATCGTTATTTATATTTGAAGTTGTTGTATTTGTCAACCAATTATCGGACATATAATCGGAATTGAGAATAGATGAAACATCACAGAGATCTTGCAGCGATTCCATGGGTGTTAGTTCGGGCACCAGATCTATCGGATCATTACATGGTGAGTCGGGCAATAAGTCATCCAGATTTGTAATTAATGGGCGAAAACCGAGATTTGATGCAACATTAGGTGTTGTCGTAGCTACAGTTATATTTTCATTTTCTGACACGGCGCTTGTAGTTGTAGCTGGCGCTACAAGTGCAGTTGATTGCGATACTGTGGTGGTAGGCGTCGTAACTGTCGCCTCTGTAGTTAATAATGCGGGTGTAATGGTGTCTGTTGAAGTGACTTTGGTTGTGGCTAAGCCTTCGGTTATAGCTTCATTGGTTTTATCCACACTTAGGACAACAGTCGCTGCTGCATGCTCTTTATTTGCTAGATTGGTAGCCGTCGACTCCTTCCTATCTTCTTTCTTTCTATTTCCAATCGTAAGAGTCAAGCTCTTCTTTAGCTTATTATTCGTTGCATACAGTCGATTAAGCTTATGCAACACATTCTTATTTTTAGCTTTACCAATTTTGTTATTCGTGCTTGAGGCTGCTGAAACCGTTGATGATGTGGTGCTTGGCGCAGACTCTGTAATTTCAATATCCTCCCAATTGTCATCGTCGTCTTCAACGGGTGAATCGGTTACACGCTCACTTGTCGCAACTGCTACTACTTCACCTGATGCCGGCTGCGTGTACTCCGGTGTTATGCCTACATCGTTTGTTGAGAACGCTGATTCGGTTGATGAGTTGAACTGATCTGGTAGCGCTGTACTCTCGAGTTCCTTGCTCGATGCGGCAGTAGACTCATCAACTGTATTTTGCGTAAATGCTACTTGCTCAATTGCTTCAGCGGCAGTTGTATTTGGTGCTTCCAGAACCTTATTGGTACTGGCAGTTGCGTTTGGTGTTTCCAAGATGTTACTGGCATTAGCCATTATGTTCGCTTTACCGTTTTGTATGCTCTTAAACTTTTGACTTAAACGTTCAGCAATCGATATGCCGCTAGAACCTACAGCCGCAGCTGAGCAATCTATGCCAACGGCTTCTTGTTCATTTGTGAATAAACTTTGTGCAAAATTATTCATTGTCGGCGACTCGTTAGTCTCACGTGTAGGCACAAATATATTGGAGCTTAAAGCGCGCTCCACAGCGATTTTTTGAGCTTCAGCAGTTTTATTACATTGCAGGTTTTGTGCAATCGGTATATCATCGCTGTCGAAACTTTCATCTTTGCTCTTTGCTGCTACAGCTTGCAGCGGCGTTGCCGTGTTTGAAGTATCCGTGTCGTCTAGCTTATCTAAACCTTCGTTTATTATTTTCGCTTCTAAGTTTACCGCACTCAAATTATCGATTATTCTCACATCTCTAGTATCGAACAGTTGAATTGTATGACACATTTTGGCGATTTTCGATTTTGCAATGTCATGTTGCTTAACGAGGTGATTATCGATATTTTGTCTCCTCAACTGTATGAAATTACATAACTGACAGACATGCCCAAGCAGCACTGGTTCAGTTGGCGTCACGTACTTGCGCATAACTGTCGCACCAATGCAATTTGTTTTGATGTGTTTTTCAAGTTGCCAGCCTTTAGCGCCAGGTTGATGACAGTTGCTACACTCAAAGTTGTATTCACCCGTATGCGTTTTTATATGCTCTATCCAGTTGGGCTTTTTCATGCGTTTATGTTCCAAACAAAATGGACAGCGGTAGAACCAGGTTATTATTTTCTTGTTACTTACACCGAAATAAGGCTTGGTCATTTCACCTGCATTAAGTTTTTCCAATATATTGGGCGCCAAACGTGCAGCGTAAAATTCATCGTGTAGCCGCAGGTAATGTGTGGCCGGATAGATTATTTTGATGTCACACAACAAGCAAAATTTAACCCACTTGGATTGCGAATGCCATTCCTTATTTGTGTTCTTTATCAACGTTAATTTCGTTTTAGCATTGGTAGAAGTTGTGGATTTCTCCGTCAAAGGCAGAGTAACTTTTTTATCGCTATTATCTTCAACATCGGTTATGTCGTCATCGGATGTTAAGGCAATCGGTTGTTTTTTACTACATTTCGGCCCGGGCTTTACCCGCTTCACGTCGATATCTAGTTTGATTTTTTTAGCTAGCGGTAGCTCAGCTAATTCATCGCTATCATCATCTACTTCCGATTGTTTTATGGGTGTATGGGGTTTGAGTACAGGCATTTTTCTTGGTGCCGTCTTGTCAGAGATTGCATCAACCATTTCGGTTTCTGCGCATTTTTGAAATTCTTTGAAATCTATTGGCTTTAGTACGACCTTAGATTTACGTATACGCGGCACTTCATTGCCGGTTGGAATAATTGATGATTTACATTTTACTTCGTTTTCTGTCACTTTGTCTTGAGGCGACTTGTTATCCACACTGACATCTGCTTTGTTTGCTTCTTCGGCGGCAGCGACTAAAGTGCACATTCGGCGACCGGTGGCCGTCAACACGCCTTGACTGATGAACATGGTGCGTATATCTTCGTTTAGACGATCTAGTTCGTTCTTTTTCTTTATCTTTCCTTTGCCTTTAGTCGGTTTTGTTGCACACACAATTTCTGTGCTGTCATTTATAGTTGTCGAATCGGTATTATTCACCGTAAGTGCTTCGTCGCTGGGAACTATATTGTTTTCTTCTTCAAGCACCTCTTCATTTACTTCTTCGTTTGGGGTTGCAGTTTTGTCGGCTGCGCTCTCCACGATTTCTTTTACGAATTTTAGGTTATCTTCGCTCAGTATTTGTGATAACAAACTGAATATTTGCGCTTTGTCCTTCTTGGGATTTAGTATATCCTGCACGAAACTCTCCAACAGATGACGTTTTTGTGCATCTTCATCCATTATAGCGCCAATTCTACTGATGGGTTTAACTGACTTCTCTACTATATTAACCGTGGCTGCTTCTTCGTTGTCGCCATATGCTATATTAGGCTCTGTCGCTTCTAACGCCTGTTCACATTTTATAACCTTGACGCTTCTACGCTTCGCTGGTTTCTTCTCTGCCTTCACTAAAATCGCTTGTTCTAGGTTCTCAGCTTCAGCTAACTCTTCTTCACATGTATTATTGACATTCGTCTCAAGCTTTGTCTTGCCTTTTGTTCCCTTCTTGCCTTTAGGGGATACCTTCTTCTTTATTGCTACTGGTGACGCCTTCTCGACTGGCTGCTTTAACGGTTCGCTGCGACGCTTGTGGTTAAAGATTTCTAACGAACGCTGCACTTCATTGAAATTAACATTCGTGCGTGTACGCCGTTTACCGGAAATAATATTTTGTGTTGAAACCTTGCAATTATCATCGGTTTTTTGAAAAATTTCAGCGAGACATTTGTTAATTTTAGGCATTTTAGCGTCAATCTCCTTCCGAAGCTCTTCTTCTTTAGCTCCCTGAATATCCTCGTAAACCAATGATTTTATGGGAAAGATTTTTTCTTTATCTACTTCGGGTAAACTACCTCGAACCATCATCGTATTACGACGCTTTAGTATACGCGCAGGTTTCCCGAAACTTTGTAGGCTTTTCAAAAACAAAGCTGTTGACGGACTTACAAGCTCGTCTGCTCTCGTTGGCATATTGTTTGTCACACTACATTCGGCTTTTGCTACACTCTTTAAAATCAGGTTCGATGCACTGTCCATATCGCAATCACTTGTATTAGTAGTAGCTAATCCAATAGCGGCATTAACCTGAACAGTATTTTTCTTTTTATTCGTTTCTTTCGGTTCATTTGTAATGCTTGTTGCTTCTTCGGAAGAACCATTACTATGTGCAATCTTATTATTAAGTTCCGTTTCTTTGACAGTCTTAGGCGTAATGTTTTCTACGACATCTTCAGTTGCATTACCGTTAATTTCTGCCTTTGCATCAACTGCCGTTGTTGTGGTTTGTGATTTAGCTTGCACCCCACGCTTGGTTGCAGGTTTATTCTTCACTTTCTCACTGCTTTTAATGCTTATATCCACACTTTCTTTTTTAGCACTTGCTTTATTATCTTTCTTTCCCTGCTTCTTTTCGCTGACACTATCCTGAGCTTTCTTTGGTATTTGCAACTTCTTTTCAATTTTCTTCTTATCGTCTTGTGTTGTAGTTGCAATATCCTCTGTTTTGGCATTGGACACAGCTGTCGGCTTGTTAATAGTTTGATCTTTATTTGATTGCTCCGGCACTAAAGACCCATTGCTGTTTTCTTTAACATCTTCCTTTTTCTCAACATCAGCTTTCGGCTCTGTTTCGGTTTTCTCTGACGCTTTTTCGACAGGTTTCTTTGGTATTTTAAAACTAGTTTTGGCTTTGGGAAATTCGGTGCTAGTAAAGTCGGTGCTACGATATAATTTGTCCAATGTTGAGGCGACAGGTGGATGTTCTGAAAGCTTCGCTAACACACTGCTATCAACTTCACTCACTTCACCAATATCTTTGGTAGTTATATTTGGCGGTTTTGTGATCTCAGCGGCGGCTTTCCTGGCTGCATCTTCTGCGGCAGCACGCGCCTTCGCCTGCTTATACTCAACATAGGTACGTGGCGCACTTTTCTTTTGTTTTTTCGATTCGAAATATTTCGAACGTTCCGTTTTATCGTTCAGCAAGGCGCTAAACTTACAATTAGTGGAATACTGCGGCACATTTTTGGAATGTTGCTGAAAATGCGGGTTTACGATATGCGGTGGCATTGAGCCGTTACCACTATTTTTACGTGCGAATATCGGTGTAGGTAACAATGGTGGTTTGACAGTTCGAGCACCTGCATCCACATGTCCTTCCGTTGCCTTCAACAGTTCTGTGAATGGTTGAATTTGTGTAGCTTGCGGTGACTGTATGACTGCTTTTGGTACAGCTGGCGTATCCGGATCCGAGTCCCAGTTCTCTTCACTGCTATAACCACTTTTGCTTCTCTGTATCGTGGGTCGTTCTAGTGTAGTCGGTGCCGGCACATCGCCATAGTTCTTTACAGTGAAATCTCTGCGTGAAAATATACCCACATGTTTTTGATTTGCTGGCATATTATTTACCATGTGTTGTCTTGGTTCTATTGGTGTGCTTGGGAAGCTTGCATTGTACGGCACGCGTGGATCCATCACTTTAACATCTAATAAACTGGGTATGTGGGACTGTTTTACTGGTGGCTTGACGTTTGGGGAATTGATCTGCGGTGACACTACTGTGGAATTTGTCTTAATCGGCAGAAATGCGGGCTGTTGTTGTGGATTCTGTGATTGTTTATAGAGACTGGAAGTCATGCTTGTAGCGGCGACATTCCGTAGTCTGGGGTCATGTGGCGCGGCTGAGTTCAATGTATTTGACGTGTTGATCGCTGTCAAATTACTCCCAGCGTTATTAAAGCGATTATAATTTAACCGTGGATCAACTGGTTGTGCAACATGTGTGTCGCTACCACAACTGCTATTACTACTAGCCGATAATGTATTACGCTCTGACCGCGGGTGTGGATTATATTTTAAAGCTATACGTTCTTTTGGTAACAATGTTGCTGTTTCTTTGGCCGTAGTTGTAACTGGCGATTTCTGCACATCCGGACTGTCTCGTGAACTTTTGGTAACAATTGCGAATTTTTTGCGCACTTTATCCAGTGTTGCTGCTTCCATGGGCGATATTTGATCGGTTGTGCCAGTGCTATTAGAAACTGTGGCATTTACTGGACGCCGTATACCAATCTCTGAGATACTTGGTGTTCCTTTTCCACCACTTTCATTCAGTAAGTCCGAGATATCGCTAGCCGACAATGGTGGACTTTTCAGCACATCCGGTATTGTCGGCACTTTGACAGGCATTGAAAAGGGTGCACTTTTGTTGGACACAGCAACTGGTTGTTCAAGATTGCGTACACGTGAAAACATTTCAGTCGGTTTCGGCACATTTTTCTTAAAATTAAATATCGTCTCGTGATATGTCTGCTCGCGCAAACTTTTGGGAGTATCGTGAATGGCTGAAACTGTAGTGTGATTTGCATTACTGTTTCTACAGGGCGTGGTATCCCAACATTCTTCGGGTGAATATATTTCGTGGGTAAATGCATTCGATGCGCGCGGATCGCGATTTCTTAACGGATCGAATTGGCATTTATTACCGTTAACTGCGTTTGTTGCATCAGTCGCACTTTCCGCGCCCATACGGCGTCTATGAAAAATGTTTGATGCATTATTTGGATGTTCTTTACTTTTATCAACATTTCTATTAAAATTTATTTTTTGATGACTTTGCTCATGTGATTGAGTATGATAGTGATGGCGCTCCTGTTGATGCTGACTGTGATGCTTATAATTACGTTCAATATGCTTTGAACTGTGTTTGTGTTTATCGCGGTGTTCGGATTTGGACGATTTTATATCATGCACTGGTGAACAACGCCTCTCTGTAGGTATTTCTACAGGTGGCACCTCCTCCAATGGCTGTGGTGGCGGACTCTCTGGTCCAGTTATATCAACTATATCAACACTACACACTGTTGTATTTTTTTCACTTGGCACTTCTGTATTTGACTTTGTGGTTTTATTTTTTAAGTTGGAAGTTTGATTAGTTGGTTTGGAAGTCTCATTATCACTCTGCAAAAAGGGTATCTGCTCATTGTTTTTATTTTTTGTTTTGTATAGTAGGTATGTGTGCATTTTTTAACCGAACGAAAATAATTACAAGCAACATGAAAAACGAATACAAAATGAAAAAAAATGTAGAAAATAAAAATATAGGTGAATTTTGTATGGATATTTACAAGAAGAAAGCCAAGACTTATTAGCTATCCTAAGATAAAAATACATTAAATATTGGTGAATTAATGGCAAATAAATCGTAAAACACTTAAAGCTATATACATACTATGTCTATTGAGTTTATGGTATAACTATATTTGTGCGTTTTTATTTTTTTATTTAAGAAAAACAGGTACAATAGTATTATTTAAAATATTGCCCAACGGAAGCTATAACATTTTCCCACTTTTCTGGCAATTTGTGGATTTCATCCCGAAAGAACTGCGCCGGCAGCCAAGTTAATTTTGAATAACTTGTTCGGAGGTGAACCGTATTCTAGTCAGGGCGTTCTGCATCGGCCGGAGCAAATGGTAGTCAGAATGGGAAGGTCTGGGCTGAAAGGCGGGTAAGGCCGCTGTTTTCAAAATAGTTCTTAACCGCTCTTGCAACATAAAAATCGAGTTTTCCAAATAGGAAGGTAAGGTCTTTGTTTTCCAATGAGCTCTTAACCGATCCTGCAACATAAAGCCGAGCGTTTTCTTGATGGAAAATTATTGCCCCGTGTTTAGTCGCAAATTTCGAGCGTTCTTCGACGATCGCTCACTCCAATTTGATGTTGAGTTGTTGCCGGTAGCATTCCCCATTAATGGTTTTACATGATTTTAGATATTCACGAGCCATACAGCAAGCCTTTCTGATCCCACCAAATACAGATTCATCATAGATATTCGGCTTTGGCGTTGATTGGGTTTATTGATCAGATTTTACATATGATATTTTGCGTTTAGGGTTTACGTAATGGACTAATTTTTCATCACCAGTTACAATCCGATGCAAAAACGACTTCTTTTTGTAGCGCTCAAGCAGTATTTATGAGATGTAAAATCGTTTTTCAACGTTTCTTGGCTTCAATTCATAATTACATAATTTGCTTGCTTTTGAAAATATCAGGCTACTTTTAAATGTTTTGAGATTGATGCTTGAGTAAGTTTTAAAGATTTTGAGAGGTCTCCTTGTGTTTGGCAACAATTTGCACAGAGTAATGCTGTCAGTTCCTTATCTTCAAACTTTTTTGGCCGTTCTTGCTTCGTCGTCTTCCATTTCAAATCACCGCTTGTAAGTCACCAATAACTTCCATCAAAACACAATGACTTTCGGCTGAGGTTTTCTTCATATTTATGTATTTTTTCAGGCACAAAGGTCGACATACATATATGAGAGAAAAAACTATTATTGTTTACGCTTCAAATGAATGACATGTAATGAAAATGACGCACAAGAACAGTATCTTTCCAACGCATGTTCGGAATCTCTTGGCAAACCGCACGAATATAGTAATAGACCCAATATGTCAGTGAGGGGGTATCAACGAGAGCTTAATTCAGCAAATCATTTATGTCATTTTGATCATCGAAACTTAGCTTTTCATTATCTCATTCGGTATAAATACTCGCAGAGGTTAAAGATCGACGATTTTACTGTCATTTAATTCTTAACATAATCCATGGCAGTTTTTAAATCTGAATCTGCTGAGTCATATGTAACTATATGGCGTGTTATGACATTCATTGACCCACCCTCGTATTAAATGAGTTTTTTCTAACGAAATTTATCATTTAACGACTGTAACCTGTTTGCAAACTTACTTAATATCTATCAACTTAATAGTTACATATATTACATTAATTCGTATTTGCATATGCAATTATAAAATTAAATTTGATAGTTAATGCAAGCAATTGCTATGAAGTAAAAACTTTTCAAAATAATAATAAAAAAAAGGAATTAATAAAGCTACATAAAAATTAAGATTAGCAAAAAAAACGTCTACCTACCCTTTCCATTTTGCTATGTAGTTTTATTAATAATCCTTCGCATTTCAGTAAAGTCTCCATTTTTAACCTGAAAGTTTTTATAAATAAATAATAATAATAATTTTTATATTGTATTTTGACACGTTAAATTGTGACAATTCAGTTCTTCGGTTTATTATTTTGTTTATGCAACGTACATTTTCCTGTTACTTTTCAGCAGATCGTGTAGCACCTCCATTTTTTTCAATTGCGCCTTGCGCGGGTTATCATCACCTTGTTCGGAGCTGCTACGCAATTTTTCAATGACATTTTGTAGAAATGGCAGATATTTCTGCATTTCTTTATATTTTGTATCGAAATCAGCCATTTTTTATTGGAAATATAAAACTGAATATCTAATATAACAAATTCATTTGGCTGCAAATAAAGTAAATAAATGTTTCAATGGTTAGCATTTGGTTATGTGAGGAGTTTCGTTATTTCTAGGTATGTTAAGGTTATGACAACTGACTAAACATGATAAATATGAGTGATTTTCATTTCAAATAACAGAAAATACTAAATTTCAAAATGCGCATAGGAAAGGATAAAGAAAGCAGCTGATATCGGTTAAATCACTGGTTAACTAACCAATAGCGCTACCAGTGATTTCTGTTAAAGTTTCTATGCGTTTCTGAAGCCGAATTCACAAACCTAACCGAAACTTTTGGGTACGCGTGATTTCTTTCATCATCGACATCTTTTTCTAACGTATTAAGCTTATGTGTTATACTATGCTGTGTATGTGATAGTTTCCAAGCTAATTCTTTTAATGAATTGAAGTTTCGGTAGTCGAGCTGAGCATCGTGCTGAACATTATGCTAAAGTTTAAATAATATAGAAATAAAAGCAAGGAACATGAAAAAAGTTCGGAGCTGTATTTCAGAAATAAGAAATACATATTATGTTTGGATTTGTATGTGATATAGATTAAAATTAATTTTGGATATACCGAATTACTTTTCATGCTTGAACTTGTTACCGCAGTCGCCTTTATCGAAAAGAGATAAAATGTAATGTTGGAGTAGTGTGGGCCTCGACTATGCGCATACTGTCTTTTATGAAGTAATAAACCTGAAAAGCTAAGTTGACGGTCACAGTGGGGCTAAGGTCCATCCCTGCTACGACCAAATTATAATACATTTTTCGAATAGCGGTCGTCCCTCGGCAGACATTGGCAAACTCCCAAGTTTTTCTGTTATGAGTAAGACTTTCAATTCGCGCTTACTTTACGATGGCAGTGAAGTCTATTTGCAGGATAACTTCGCGTTGTGGTTGTAGGATATAAAGCGATTTTGCGATCAAGCATCCTGTTAAGTATGACAAATGCTCTTGGGCTAGCGCACATCCGACAATTTACCCAACTAAGCTTGGATTGTACGCGTCATGATGACATTCAAGTTTTTAAACAGTTAACTGTTACAAATCCAATAAAAATGTAGGAATACGAACAAAAACAACTCTGCAATGAGCGAAATGAAAGTAACACGCGCAGCAAAACAAAATCAAAACACGACACACATCATTAATTAAAGCATATACACTTTCTATTAAATTAATTAAATATTTATGTATGTCTTTTTTAAGATACGCGCGACATTATCTACACAAACGCGAAATAATTTGATTTTCGTACCATTCTATTTATCTTAAATGTTTATATTTCGTTTTATTTTTATTATTTTTTTCATATTTAAAATTTTCCAAGCATACTTAACATTTTTAGACTGTATCAAAGTTGTTAAAAGTCAACGTGTTTAGTAATAATAATGTAACCACTGAACAGGTTATGTAAACGTTGCCAAGGAGTTTGTAAAAAAAAGGGGGAGACCGCATGAAGTATACATATTAAGTATATATGTATGTATATACATACATATAAAATCATCAGCGTAACGAACTGAGTTGATTTAGCCATATCCGTCTGTCTTTATGTCTGTCTACGCAGGCTACTCCCTTAGTTTGTGAAATATCGATCTGAAATTTTGCACACATTCTTCTCTCCACAAACCAAATATACAGGCTATAGATGATCGTAAAAAAAATTGTCGAGAACTAATGGGGCTAGGAGGAAAACATTTGTTAATTATTATAAGATTTTAGCCTTGTCAGATGGATTCTCTCGTATTTAAGCAAAGTCCAAAAGCACTAAAAATCTTTACACCACTTGTGAAATAATGTAATTTCCTTGGTTAATTGCACAAAAAACTTTTAAAACGTTAAAAAAATCTGGCATTGCCGCTCATACGAGGTTTGTTCAAAAAGTATCGCGAGTTTTGTATTTTTTAAGAAAGTGTTCATTTATTCATGAATATCTATTTTGTTCCCTTCAAAGTAATCACCCCCAGATATAATGCGCTTATGCCAACGTTTTTTCCAATGCTCAAAGCATTTAAATAAAGGCATTTTTTGTAGTCTTATTCAGCTCCTCCTTCGACGCAGTATTTATCTCCTCGATCGTAGCGTAGCGTCGTCCTTTCATGAGCCTTTCAGTTTTGGAAACAAAAAAAGTAACAGGGGGCCAGGTCTGGGCAATGCGGTGGCGGTGGCACCATTAACGTGTTGTTTTTAGCCAAGTATTCGCACACAAGCAACGATGCGTGAACAGGGGTGTTATCATGGTGCAAAAAGCAATTTTTGTTCTTCCACAAATCCGGGCGTTTCTGTCGAATTAGCTAATACTATTTTCTTCACTTCATTAATGTATTCGTCTGTTGTTGACGTGCTCGGGCGTTCGGCACGCTCTTCGTCGTTCACATCTTGTCGACCCTCTGTGAACATTTTGTACCATTGATAAACGTTGCTTTTGTTCACGGTAGCACCGCCATATGCCACAGTCAACATTCGAAATTCGTCCGTGCACTTAATTCGTTTTTTACACAAAATTTTATACAAATTCTTTGATCCATTTGTTGAAATTAGCAAAAATCGCAGACGAACCAAAACGCGTCCAAAAATTAACTAAACATTCAAAATGGCCAACCTTGCCAGCATAAGTAAGAGATATGAGTGCCAACATAACGCAACAAAACAATCGAAAATCGAATACACGTAGCCCGCGAAAATTCAAAATTCGCGATACTTTCTGAACAAACCTCGTAAAAATTTCGCCGCATTTGTGATAACCAGCAGTTAGATAGAAGATGATCCTTCAAAGCCTCCGTCAGTTCGCGAAGTTTTTAAATACATACATACATTCAAATATAAGTATTTTTATTCAGAAAGCAAGTTTTTGTGTGAATTAGGGCATATGGAATAGCACATTATTTCACGTAGATTGAACAATATACAAAAAAATATTACAGACTTCTCAAATTAATATAAATAAGTTTTGGTTCCTTAAGTGTATTTTTTTTTTACAACAATGATGTCTAAATATATATGTATGTAGGTACATTGGCTTGGTTTTATTATTTTGTTTAGATTTTTATTACAACAAAAGCAGTTGAAGAAGCTGCAGGTATGTTTTAGTTTGTAAATACATATGTACAAACACATGCTTATGCATATGCATGTATATACATAAATAGTGTTAAAGGGGATTGCTTTATCTGTGTAAATATGATATCGTTGCATTTCAAATTGTAGCACTCAAGTAATGTGTACTATACTCGTATATGTATGCATGTACATATGTATATATAAAGTTATATATATTCATTGGGCACATAGGTGGTGCGATCGCTACCTCTGCAAGCTATATAATATCTTAAGGTATTTCTTATCTCATTTTTGTGCAAAGCTGCAGTTACGAGCAAAATTTACATTAAGTTGTCTTCTAAGTTTACTTTCACATTTTTGCTCGCCTGTGTCTCTTTTATCTGCGACCGCGCAACTTCTTATCTACTGCTTAACACTTTTTTTCTATGAACTTATATATTTTCATTTGCTCACCTAAATGAGTGGTATATTGTATAAGCATGGCATTATATAGTCGCATAGGTACATATATATATATATGTAAGTATATATGTGTGTGTGTGTTTAACATTCATGTTGATCCTTCTCTTCGCATTAATAGGTAAAGTGAGTTAATTGAACACTTTGCCGCACAGACATCATGTAAAACACATATCAGATTTGTTAAAGCTGATTACTTTTTGGTTTGATAAAATATTTAACTAATTTACTATATTTGTTATTAGAGAATGTGCAACACAAATTATATACACATTTTATTCAAACCATGACCAAGGATGACATGATGCGAGACTCTCTCATTTTCGCTGATTTTTCTGTTATTCTCTTTCCCTGATTATTAAAATCAGGGAATTTCGAACAGCTGATGTCAAAAAAGGCGGGATGCCAGAAATAAACCAGCTAAAAATAGCTAACAAAAGCAGTGCGAAACGAAATTTCAAGGAACGACACAAATACATTTGAATAACGTGCAACTAAATTTTATTTGTTAATTTAATTTGAAACGTTCATTATAAAACCATGATCTTTTATTATGACTTGTTTTGTTTCTTTGTTATAATATTTTTTTATTTATATGCAATTTTTTTATTTTATATGATTTTTAAAAAATTTTATAATATAAATATACGTATATAGGGATGTATATGCGTTATAAAGGCCTACTCGGGGACGGAGCACCTAAAAATAATATTGAAATACAAAATACCCAAACGTTTTTTTTATAATACCCAATCCATTTTCTTTCGACAGTGGCATGGTTGGCAAATGTTATAAAAAATGTGGGTTTTGACAGCTCTCTCTCGATTCAAAGAGTCTCGCATCATTTCATCCTTGCCATGACCGAAACAAAACTAAAGCAAATGTAGAAAAAATACGATGCAGAGCATAACGAGACACAAAAATCGGCTGCCTGCATGCACACATACAAAAGTTCATTCATTTCAGCTACCCAGCTGTTAATTTGGGTTGAGTGGATTTTATGTTTTCATAATAACAATCCGTGCGGTGCTACCAGAATTTTCAAAGTTAGCAAAATCTAAAATTTGCAAGACTCTTGACAAGTTTTTATAATATATTTTAGCATAACTTCATCTTAACAAAAAAAAAAAAGAAGTGTTTATAATATATTTTAACATAACTTAATTTTAACGTAAATAAATAAAAATAGCTGATCATTGAAACGTAAAATAAATAAACTATTGACATACATTTCAGTATATTTTTCCTTTAATACTTGCTTAAAAATTTTAATAAAAATGTTAATTCAATTATTGTTTAATGCATTATTTGCAACCTCGGCTACGTCTTTAATATTTGTGGTAGCTGTCAAAACAAAAGTGTGTCAACTTCGACTGCACAGAAAATATAATACCCTTCACTGGTGAATAGCAAAAAAGGGTATAAAGAGATATTATCTCGATTTTGATCGATCAGATTGTATGGCAGCTATAAGCTGTGCTGGTCTGATTTGAAAATTTTGTTTCGAAGATCATACAGTTGCTTTGTACAATAATCCATGCCAATTTTCGTGAATACAACTTGTCAAATAAAAAAGCTTTCCATTCAAGAACTTAAATTGGACCGTACTGCTCTATGCTATAATGGTGTGATATCGGCGATTCTGACGAATGAGTAGCTTCCTGAAGAAAAAAGGACGTGTGCAAAATTTCAGATCAGTATCTCAAAAACTGAGGGATAAGTTGTACCAACGGATAGACAGACGGACATGAAATTGAAATGACGTCTCCCAAATTTCCAACACACTTAATGGCCAACTTAATATACCCTGTTCAGGGCATAAAAGTACCTTGTAAGATATGTTATGAGTGATCAATTATATCACGATAAGTGGTATTTTGCGAACGAAATAATAAGAAGATCCAAAAGAGTAAATCTCTAACTTTAATAGTAATTGTAAACAAAAACGTTGAAAACTTGTCCGCTTAATGTCACAATCCAAGTATTTTTCTGTCAGATGTACTACAAAATCTTAGCGAAACGAAACCGTTGTGATCATTGTTCCTATCACACTTGAATTCGTCGAATCGTTGAAAAATTTGAGAATAATCAAATTCAATTAGATGAACAAAATTTTTCCATTATCCTTTCTATACAACATTTTCATAAGTACAATGAGATCCTTTTACATATCTGAAGAATCTCGAATGTCAATATCTATTTTCATTCGTACATACATATGTACGAACATTAATTGTGTCGTTCAGGGAATGAAATTCTTTTTTCAATGATACGATGAGATTTATGGATCGTCTGGTGTTTATATGTGGTTACAGCGGTTATTTTTCATATACACAGAACGCTGTTAACGTAAGATGGATAAAGTTAGACAATTATATTTACAGAGCGTCGAATATAATATACATATGTTGGCGAAAAAAACGTTCGTGGAAAAATAGATTTTCGAAACATAGATAGGGAATTTTTTTTAACGGATGCCACGAATGTTATACACAACAATCTCTATAGAAAGTTGACAAGCAACACCGCAATTGACAGACAGTCTAGGGATTATTAATCGTATACATTTTGAATAATTTGAGAAGGAATATTATTTTTATAACCAGCAAGTCACGACTACCCGAAACTCCAATGCATAGACATAATTTACATGGTAACTGATACATGGAAGTACATACGTTGTAAAATATTAAATTTTATAAGTAAGAAAGGAATGAACGGTCACATGCAGTTTAGGGTAGTTTTGCCAACTCAGACCTAAGAAATTTATAGAATCTTTTAACAGAGATCTGTAATCCCTCTGGTAAGTAAATTATGATTTACTCGATAGTTCATTTACTCGATATTGATTAATTTTGAATTTGTATTATATATGTACTTTTGAAAATTTTAAAGAACAAAACATGTGGCAACCCTAATAATTTCCAGATGAATTAGGAAGCTATCATTGTTTTTGTGTGAATATTTTTACCAGAACATTTATGTACATACATACATCTGAGTTCTACACGTCCAGCGGGGGTGGTTTATCACGTTATAGAACAAAATTTATGAGCAACTTTTTTTAATAGTAATCGCCTCATTGCAGACAATGTCCATACACCAAGTAGATATTTTCCGAACATTTTTAAACGCTTTTTTCTTTCACAACCAAAGCTTCACTCCAGATAATTTTGCGCTTGGTTTCTTTAAGTATTTATTTCTTCAAAATTTTTCTTTGTTTGTTTTGCTATTAATGAAGCATTCCATCAACATTAGCCTTGCCAGCTGTTTCTTTTCGTAACGAAAAATGTGAAGTGCATGCAAAATTTTTTACATCATTTGCACATCCGTACATAAATACTAACATACATACATATATTCATGTTAGTTTCTGGCCACTTATTTGCAAAATAAATCACAAGACCTGTGGGTGTAACTTCTCTTTCACATTCAACTTTTGTCGCACAAATATGCGCCCGCTACATTTGGCTGCATGGGTAATAACTGGAGAGCATTCTGTTGTTTCTATTTGCATCTGCTTTACTTTTTAACAATTTTTATGCATCAAAATGGTCGGTATTTAATTAACATGTATACATATATAGTCCGGCATCTTTTTCGCAGTGTGTTTATTTAGGGTTTTTCGCCAACTATAAAACATCGATTGCTTGTAGTTACTTTGAGCTGCACATACACACGTCTTTCTTTTTTTGTAAATATCTATGTCGCGTATAGCATATTTATCCGCAATTACACTTTACTGCTGCTGCACTTTTTATGCAGGTACATATTGAAATTCGTGCATTTTATTTGCTTTGCTTAAATTGCGCATATTGTTTGTTATATCTGCTACCATATACATACATACATATGTTTATACGTTTAAGTGTGCTTTTATTTTCACCGGCATACCAATGCAATTTGTTCCAGACAACCATTTTGCTTTAACGAAAATTCATACATATATGGTGCATTGCAGTCTGATATTTGTTGTTGCTTTATTTTTAGATATTTTTGTAACGCTAAAAATGCAAAACTTCTTGTATATCCAACTATTATATGGTTTTGCCTTTTAATTGCAACTGCTTCGATCGCCACACACACAATCTGTACTTAAACGGGTTTTGACACCAAACAAGGAAAGTTTAAAGATCGTTCTCCCACTTCGAGAACACACACTGCAATGTACGTGAAAAAATTGTGCCCATAACCAGTCTTTCAACCCTTTGCGAATTGTACATGCATGCAATATCCAAAGCAAAATGTTCGTACCTACTGCACACAAAACACCACTATGTATGTATGTTTGTATTTAACATGCTGTTAATGACAACAGTGTGCGGCACATAAATCAAATTCGACGCTCTAACAGCGTTCGTGCCATTAGCCGCATCTTCGGCTTTGCAGTCGTGCAATAACGAGCAATACACGAACAAAAAACCGATTGCTGTTCTCGAGCACACACACAGTTACATACGCGCTTGCATACATATATATATATATATATATACATATATATGTTTGTTTGTATGCATGTATCTGCATTTGTGTGCGTTTGTGTACTTAAGTATATGCATGTATACGTATGTAAATATATTCCTACAACTGTTACGTAACGTGAAATCTGGCCTTAAATCTACTACTTTCGTTGACGGCATAATGTATTATACACCTATTAATTAAAAATTATTATGAACCTCCCGTTATGTTGCTTTCAGTTAACGTAATATACATAAGCGCTTTGTTGCTACAACTTGACTTCTTCACGCAACGCAAAATAAAATGCAGTCAGGTACATACTATATTTTAAGTAGCTTTTCAGCGCTGATTTTTGTGACTTTCCACAGAATTTACTATAGTTTGCTTAAATTAGGCACTTTCACAGCATAAATTTACAAAATTTAATATGTTCTTATACTAAAATTTATGAGTATAAATTAGTACATTTTTATGTGTTCAGATTATCGGCTTGCAAAAACTCAACTGGAAATCTAATAATGTAATAAGAAACTGTTCGCTGCACTGACATGTACCTTCCTGACACGCGAACGCTGCTAAACCGAACAGAACGAACATCAAAATGAAGAAATAATAAAAACGAAGGCAAAAGTAGTAAAGACTGAATTTGTGGAACGAAGCACATACAATATATGTATATACATACAATAATATATATATATACACACATATAGAAGCACAAAGTACTAAATAGCGTTTGCTCACTGTATGCCCCAGTCAGTTATTAGTTGGCAGCTGTGGAATATAGACGTTGGATGGCAGGCTTGAGGTTTGTTTTCGCCAAAATATATAGTAATATATATATATGTATCTATATATGACATCCACACACAGTTGATTACTGTTTGCATGGCTACTACCAAACCAAATATGACTTAAAAACAAACAGGAAGAGGTCACAGCAAAGGTTTAGATCTGGAGACAAAGATATGAGCATCAAAATTTCGTTTTCTTGCTAGCAGAAACAAAGGAAATGAAACTATCAAGTACATAGCATGCTTACGTAAGCAATTAGTGGCGTTGTTGTTGTGGTATTCGATTGGCAAAGCGCGCTTATTATAGGCCCTATCTGCTAGATAGGCAATTTGCGTGTATTTTGAACGACGCTTGCAACAACAAAGTTGTGCTTAATTATTTTTATCCCAACGTTGTCTTGACGTATGAAAAGTAGGCGCAACAATGGTACTATACGTACTTAATATGATTATCTAGATAAGCCTTGTGACGTCTGCAGTTGGAAGAGCGGAATCAGTAAGCGCAACAACAAATGTTCGTTATAACACCACAAGCAAACTATTTGCGAATTATGTACCTATAAAACCAATTATTCACACCAAGCGTACACCCACATATTTTTGCTCTACAAGAGAATTACTTTGGAACAAAATGTCAACAGGGTCGTATTTGTCGTGTTTTAATACTGATATGCTATGCTAATTGGTAAATTAGTAGGGGTAGTATTTTTGCGATGTTTCAATATTTGATGAAAATATCTACAGAATGCAATCAAAAAACGTAGCAATGAAGTCACATGAAGAAAATATTTACAATCTAGAATCAGAAAATATAACAGCGTAGTCAGATATTTAGAATATAAACCCAACTGAGGTGTATTTATAAAGTTATAGGTGCACAGCCATTCACAATACATCAGGCGGATATTGTTTTGATGTTATGCACTATCTTTTATCAAAATGACAACTATTGTTTAAGCTTGCACAAACATCCCCGTATAGTTGTTTTGACAGATTATTACATAAATTAAGGGTTATCCAACTTATTCAAGTGTGAGAGCGACCCAGACATTGTTGCCAGATCAACGAATAATTTTTCGGCATTGAAATTGCAATACCGAATATTTATTACGATTGATAATTATTTAATATTTACCGCCTAATATAATGACTAACTATTTAAGTCTTTTTTTCTTGTTAACTGCAAATTATTCAATGTTTCTTTCCATTCAATTCAATCAATTTCTATTGTGAATTAATACCCCAAAGCATCAGATCACAAAACATTTCTTCAATAAATATAAATTTCGAGTTTCCTATTCTTTTTATTATTTCAATCCTTTTATTATTTATAGATTATTTGATGATCTACATGATGTATCATACATTTTATAGAAGATTTCAGGATCGTCAATATTTGTCTGGGGTAATTTTATATAAAATTTATAGTTTTTTTGGAAATCGTGAATAAAATTTGTTTGATCTTTGAAATCGAGTAATTTTATTTCCACATATCGGAACGATGAGGAGTTCTGTTATGTTATTTTCAATCATGTTTTGAGCATATTTACTAACTTTCAGCTTTTTGTAAGTTTTTATGTCCTTGAATATCTACTTTGAACGAAGTATCAGAATTTGCGAAATACATATTTATATATTCATCTATTCTGGTTTTTTATTTTTCTATGTAACCAACTACTTCTGTCACTCAATTCACTACCAATTTATTATTAGAACACTTTTCAAAAACGTCGTGAGGTTAATTATTTTTAAATTATTTACGGTCACGGTAATTATTAAAATAATACTTCACTATACATACATATATGTAAAAGATCACGTAGTCTGTCATATTTTCACATAGGTTTTTATGCACCGATCGGCAGTTTTATTATATTGAATATTAAACAAATATATTTTTACGCAAATTCCGAATAGCAAAAGTTTGATTTGACAATATGTTATATTAAATTCCATGTTGAAATTATATTGTGCGAACCGAAAAGTTGGCAACACTTTTCATAAAGGCATTTGTCAATTTCACACACATCTTAACAAGCGATGATATGCAACATTCTAAAGACACGATATAATGTATTTAACTTAGCAGGTTTTTCAAACACTTACATAAATATGTACTCGATATTAAAAAATGGAAATTCTATAAATAATATCACTAAATTTATGAACATTCACTTGCGCTTTAGCTGAATACTTAATGAACGAAGAAAAACACACTACACTTCACAACGGCAGAATATAAAATGAAAGGCACAAAAACAAAATCAATAGATATGCAATGGAACGTAAGTGGATGGCGTTTCTTTATGGTGGACGGGTGTGTCGTTTATGTACAAATCTTAACTACCGCTAAACAATTAAAGGAAGTAATGAATGGAAAACATAAGGAAAACCTCTACAGTGCTACATTTAGAGGGCAATGCACAAAATTTTAAAGAGAACAAAAACGGAATGACGAAGAAATAAAAATATATCGGGTTTGTGTATATAATATTTGTAGAAAATATAAAAAAAAATTTTGAAGAGAGGTTTTTATTGGAAAAGGTTTTTATTGGAAAGGATTTACGCACGTATTTTAAATCAATGGTGAACAAAAAAAGTCAACAATATCAATAACGAGTAAGAAAGGATAAGTTAAGGTGTAACCGCACATTTTTTACACTCACAATTTTCAAGGATCAAAACTGGGAAATTCTTTGAAATATTGCGTAAAAATATTAAATTTTTGACGAAACCGTGATGTAATCAATTCACAAAATTGTTATCTTGTTAACTTATATTATTGGTGGCTCATTTAGTTTCATTACTGTTCGGTCTATAATTATATTCGTGCGGTTTTTTTTCCAACATTTTAACGTTTATTTAAACAAAAAAAAACCTTGTGGCAATTTGTGGATTCCATCGAAAGAACCCGGGCACAGTTCTTGGCGGCCAATAATGAATCAAAATCAATTTTTGATACCCTGTTCTGAAGCAAATTATATTCCAGTAAGGGCGCTCTGCGTCGACCATAACAATTGGTAATCATAATGGGTAAGGTCTGGGCTATAAGGCGGGGCAGGCAAAACTTTCCAGTCGCTGTTTTCCAAATAGTTTTGAACCGGTATTGCAACATGAGGCCGAGCGTTGTCGTAATGTAAAATTATTGCTTGGTGTCTACCCGCGAATTTTGGGAATTTTTCGGTAACCGCTCCCTTCTATTTGATGAGTTGTTGTCGGTAGTACAGAAACAAGTTAATTGTTTCATCCGGTTTTAGAAGCTTATAATACAGCACACTCTGATCCCACCAAATACAGAGCAGGTGCCGTGGTTATTGGGCTTTGCCGTTGCTTTGACTGGTTGACCATGTTTCACACATGATTTTTTTTCTTCATATTACAATCATGAAGAAGACCTCTCTGACAAAACACTTTTGCAGACACATAGTTCGACGTATTTTAAGGGAAAAAATTCGAGTTTACGCTTCCAATGAATCACATACCCACAAGGACGGTAGGTTTCCAGCGAATTTTCGAAATATTGGAACAATGAAAGAATAATCAACTCTTGAAAAACCGAAAGCTCATCGTTCTATACCTAATAGTTCTCAAAATGACAATATTTTACTTCGACTCAGAAATTATGGAGATAGACATATCGCCAAGTTTTTACCGTTACAGATGTGACCAAAAAAGCAATAACAAAATACAGGCGGTGATGTAATAAATTCAAAGTGATGATCTGAACACAAAGACGACGGCTCGACACGACTGCACGACAGCGAAATTTTTTGGTCTGCAAATGTCGTCTTGAAGCAAGAAGCTGGACATTTTGAAGACGACATATTAAACAGCTGATGTAGACTATTTCGTTGTTGCCGTACTCAAACCTTTCACTTCAATGAAATTTAAATGTTTTGTTCAAAGTAAAATTTTTGGCTAAAAAAATAAGTATAAAGGTCGATTCATTGTTTCAAATTATCAATTGTTATTACAAGTATTTTATCAGTGCTGTTTTATGCTTCTGTTGGTAAAAAAAATTTTCGACTTGTTAGAGCTTTGAATAATTTTACAAGATATGAATGATAGATTTAAAAAAAAAAACACACTAATTGTTAAGGAAATTCAAATGTTTCTTATTTAGTGTGAAATATAATCGATATAATTGAGTTCCAAATATAGCATGATACAAATGGCAGCCACGACTTCTTTTGCAGGGACGAATTCGATGAGCCCAACTTTCGAATACTTTTGCCACTAAATCAAGTCGTATGTCATCAATAGCATGTTAAATATTGACTTCAAAAGCTTGAAGAGAGTCTGATTTATTGCTAAAGACCAAAGACTTCAAATAACCCCACAAGTCTAATGGTGTTAAATCACAACTTCTTGGAGGCCATTCAATGTCACAATTTTTTGAAATTATCGAATCTGCAAACTCTTCTTGCAATAATTCGATAATTGCACGTGCTGTGTGACACGTAGCCCCGTCTTGTTGAAACCAGTTGTTGTCAAGATCAACTTCTTCCAATTGCGCCCATAAAAAGTTTTAACTGCAGATGCCCCTCCCTAATGTGATCCTGTGTACCAAATAACAGTCTTGTATCTTATTGCGGAGCTTAGTTATGGCAATTTATTTGTTTTTGATTAATGGCGTTTTGTGGGCGTGGCAGTGGTCCGATTACGCACATCTGCAATACCAACCGTCTCACGGTACCAAGAAACATGTCTACCATGTTTCATAAAGATATCTCAATTTTTACTCAAGTTACAGCTTGCACGGACGGACGGACGGACAGACAGTCACCCGGATTTCAACTCGTCTCTTCATCCTGATAATTTATATATATATAACCCTATATCTAATTCGATTAGTTTTAGGTGATACAAACAACCGTTAGGTGAACAAAACTATTATACTCTGTAGCAACAGGTTGCGAGAGTATAACAAAGCAATGTTTGCTGCAGCTAAGTGAATGCGGACCAATTTCAGCCAGCAGAGAAATGAATGACGATTATCCCGTTAGTTTCGAGTGAGCCACCGCGTACCAACGCAAGTCAACTCACTAAGTGTAAGAGCCAAATGGAACCAAGTGAGCTATGGCGTGCAGAAAGAAAGGAACAGATAACATTCCTAAGTTTACTATTGTAACTTGTGATTTATGGAGTAATCGGCAGCATTGGAAATCTAATTTGGTTATGTTTAATGGCGTTAAGTAAACTGCAGTTACACATACATCATGCCCCCGATTGGATTAACAAATTTTTACGAAAAGCTTTTTCATGTCAGAAATACAATCGAGATTGTGATTTTAGAGCACGTACTGAAAAACGAATGTTCTGCCACTAAGAGGTCCTCGTTTATATAAGACCGAGTTTCCGCGAAAACCTTTTTTATTTTTTTATCTTCAAATTCTCTATTGGTGTGGCCCATTATATACACACGGGCGACACGAATCCGGCAACTCGAGTCGAACAATTTTTTGCATTCCCTTTCATGTCACATTCTTGTACGCGAAGTAAAAAAATATATTTTTGATTAGTTATTTTTTATCCTTACACACTACTTTCTATAATATTTCTATTAATCATGCATGTTTCATACAAAAAAAATAGATAATAAAATTCAAAATTCCGAATGTATTGTGAATATTTCAAAATGAAAAGGAATTTCGAATTGCGTAGTAACGAACTATTACGAACAAGAACACATATGCTTCAATTAGTGACCGACGCAAAACCTTAGATCGTATCCTTGTCAGGAGTACTAAAAAAAATTTATACAAATACTTAACAAACAATTTTTTTAAATAATCCTTCATAAAGAGTTAATAACGTATGGTTTTGCAATTCCAAATACATTATATAATATTATTAATAGTTATTAATTATTGAACATTAATACTATTTAGGACTCTAATAAATAATTTCTTATACTTTTCTAAACACTTCAAAAAAATTTAATTCAGTAGTTTTGGCAACACTCTGTCCGAATTCCACACTATGCGTACTTACATTTCACAAAATGGCAGCCGAAGCCTGAACTGCAAGGAATGTTAAATTATTTGCCACACACATATTAAAGGATTTCACCAAAATATATTACACTTAAATCAAATACGCTTATAAGTATTCATAATTAGTGCACAAATTAGTTTTAATTATTATGTTTCTTGACTTTCGCGCACCGAACAAAAAACCAAATTAATTAAACAACCGCACTACACGAAGGCAAAACAGAAAATGAAAGAAATTGCGTAAAAGCAAATGCGCATGGAACATATGTGGAATGTGTTAACATACATACATATATATGCATCACTTGGTCAAGGATGAAATGATGCGAGACTCTTTGAATCGAGAGAGAGCTGTCAAAACCCACATTTTTTATAACATTTGCCAATCATGCCACTGTCGAACGAAAATGGATTGGGTATTATAAAAAAAACTTGGGGGTATTTTGCATTTCGATATTATTTTTAGGTGCTCCGTCCCCAAGTAGGCCTATATAACGCATATACATCCCTATATACTTGTATTTATATTATAAAATTTTTAAAAATGCATATAACATAAAAAATTAGCATATAAATAAAAAAAATTATAACAAAGAAACAATACAAGTCATAATAAAATATCATGGTTTTATAATGAACGTTTTAAATTAAATTAACAAATAAAATTTAGTTGCACGTTATTCAAAAGTATTTGTGTCGTTCTTTTCGCACTGCTTTTGTTAGCTATTTTTAGCGGGTTTATTTCTGGCATCCCGCCTTTTTTGACATCAGCTGTTCGAAATTCCCTGATTTTAATAATCAGGGAAAGAGAATAACAGAAAAATCAGCGAAAATGAGAGAGTCTCGCATCATGTCATCCTTGACTTGGTGCCGTTTCAGACAGGGACGCAAAAGAGTCTCAAACCAGTTTATTGTGGGCGAGGGGACGACGAGGAAAGACGAAGGGACCGTGCCACTCGTGTTCGGGTGGCACGCTTTGTGTTCTTTTTCGTAACAGCTCGCTGCTACCCTTTTCAGCATTCCTTTTCACTATCAAATCCTTTGAATGGTTGCAAGAGCGCTCGGTTTCAAATGAATTCGATCGCAAATTTGAGTTCTGTTATCTATTTTTGTATGTAATATGCAAATATGTATGCATAGAATAATAGAAATATTTTCAAAAATTGTAAATAAGGAGAAAATTAAGATATAGATTATGGAGTAAAGAAATTATGAATTTTTAATACGCAGTAAAGAAATTATGAGTTTTTAATACTTAAAGATTAGGAAATTGCTATTATAAATTTGGCCTTGAAAATATTAGTTGCGGATATTCAATACATTCTTGTGGATTAGGGAATTCCCGTCTTTAGTATTTTTTTGAAACTATTTAGCGGGTAGGTACTTGTATTATGCATATTGTTCTACCATATTCATGGTAATTCATTGCAAGCAAAATGTGTGACCATCATCTCAACATACAAATGAAATACGCAGCACGCAGTGTTGCGCGGTGTTGCGCAGTCGAACCGCACAAATATTTACGAACATTTTGTGAAAAGGAATGCAGAAAAACTAGACTCGAGTTGCTGGACTCTTTTTGACCGTGTGAATGCCCAGAGCGACACCAAAAGAAAATTTGAAAAAGATCAGACTCTTTTGCATCCCTGTCTGAAACGGCACTTGCATGTGAGAGCTAGCGAAAAGGAAAATGAGAAGAGGTGGTAAAATGAAAATGAATAAATAAATCAAGAGACGTACAGGCGATATTACAAAAAACGAATCGTGCCGAGCCGCAACGTATATAAAAATGTATTTACATGTGCTATACAAATTAGACGACGATAAAGCTTAACTGCATGCAACGTTTGATTGAGCTTTTGTCCTTTCCTTTTCATTATTATAGTAGTAAGTATTCTTTAGAGGAGCGGATAATATCAAAGTTTACTATTTTTGGAAAAAAAAAATATATATATATTTTGAATTCAATGTCACAAATCTTTTAAACAAGAGACGATGATGTCCTCATAAGCGCTGCAACGAAATCCATTACTACTAAAAATCATTATCAATAGTTCACGGGTTGTAAACTTTGCTTTTTGTTCAAAGGTTGCGTACTTTGCTATCATGCCTACACAGGGGTCTACAAATGCTAATGAGTCTTAGTAAATAAAAAGACTTATATGAACGGTATTGTGAAAATCGCTATTTAACATGAATGCACATGTTCATTAAAATTATACATACATAATTTACAATATTAAAGTGCACTTATATATTTGATTTAATATAATTTTTAATATTTATTTTACAAAACTTATGTAGCACCCTGCGTGGTAAATGGTGTGCAATTGACAAGCGCCATCTAGTAAAGGGATTCTGTATGTCTAACTGACATTCAAAAATTTAATTGCAAAATAGTTATTATAGAAGTTTAGTGCTGATAATTTAAAAAAAAATACTACAGAGTACGCTAGAATTTGTTATGTATGTAAATGCTATATACTATTGTTAAATATATATGTGTGTATGCACTTTGCACAATGCTATGCGCCATATTCACCAACGGGATGAAGGACCGTTCCCACGACAATCGGGTCTACGTAACCCGAACGGACCCGTATTTTTATCCGGTCAAGGACTATCAAACCGACAGCAATCCTCCAAATTACTTCAGGACTGCTTTCTGTCGCTACAACAACAACAACCACATCTGAACCAAAGAATACGAACTAGTACTAAACATTTTTGTCGATAATGTTAAAATCTCAATAGCGAACAAATCCAAAATATTGGGTTTTACCTTTGATAGTTTGTACTCCCGAATTCATGATTATTAAAGCGCTACAACAAGATCTTCAAGTCGCTAGCCGGCAGCACTTGCAGCAAGGACAAATAAACGTTGCTGGCCACTTGCAAGGCAATCGACCGGTTGGTTATTAATTACGCAGCCTCAAAATGATCGCGTTGATGCGGCAGGACCCAGCTGAAGAAAATACAGACAAGTCAGAACACCGCACTCTAGACTATCACAGGATTTATCTTGATGTGCCCCGTCGAATCTCTCTTACTTCCGGTTGAGGAACATAATTGACTACTCTCCAAGCAATTGCTGCTGTAATGTTTTCGCCTTCTATGCACATTAAGAGAATATTACTATAATGCATCGATGAACTTCAACAATATAGAGCGACGCTATTTCGGACGTGACCAACTTCAGACGTGTACTGAACGCCAGAGTCACCGCATGACACTAAACACCTCTTTGCATGCTGCGCGAAAGCCACTCACTTAACACCCTTCACCCTCTGGTCCGACCCCGTCAATACATCCCGTTACCTGGAACTACCGTTAAGTGATTTCAATGACATATGATTTTTTTTTACTTTTCCTCCAAACAGGGTTTGGGTACTCGCTACAACAACAACACAAACACACAAAACAAATAGTAAAGGCATTTCGTCTAACCATCTAAGAAATGTGTTAGCGCCAATTATACACAAAAATGTTAATTAAAACATAATTATAAGCGCAGTTAGCTACATATATGTATACACATACTATTAGTAAAAACACAACTTTTTTTTTTTTGAAAATTGCTTAAAAAACTATTTTAAGTACAAAATTTATTTGTTATGTACAAAATACTTTTGCAATTATTCTAACTATTAATTTCATTGGTGTTCATAACTACATAGTTAGTAAATACTTTAAAAATTGATAACATTAACGTCTATTAACTAATCTAATAAAAATTGCAAGCAGTTTAAAACTTGACATTCAAGTAAACCGTCAGCAACTGTTATATAATAACTTTAATAATAACGTGCAATATATTATAATTACAAAAAGTTGTCACTTTACTTAACAAACTAAAGATTTAACAACAATCTTAAACAATTGTTTGTCTCTTCTTTTTCACAATTTCAACATTAAAAAAATACTCACAGACCAATCATTGTAAACTTAATACAATAAAATACACACTACGAATGAGGTACATAGAGATTATGGAGAATTCGTAAAGTGTCATATTTTGCAAAGTAATAAGACGTACTTTACTCACTTGCTGCACTTAAGTTACATAAATAAAACTCAAACGCATTGTTCGTAAGTCGTTGGGTTCAAAACCTGCCATTACAGTCTACTGCTCTCGCGTGTCGCGGGCGTATATTTGTCTTGACCATTGCTCGACAACTGCAAATGCTGTGGAATCACCGCCGGACGGCCATTATGCGGCAACACTTCGTCCACTGAGAAAACAGAATTGTCATGACCACGCATTTGGCGTGTGTGTGCCTCCAGGCCATCGATTTTTTGTTCGCCTACTGTTGTGGTAGCATCAACGTCCTTTTGTTTGCCTTCCAACAAGAAACAGGTGATGAAGAAGAGCACTGAACCTATTTCGGAATAGAGAAAATACAATAGAGTTTATAATTAGCTAACGATGACTTTCATATACAATTCGAACTTACTTATGCCATAGAAGCCTGCGTAAAGGATCATGAACGCCTCACGGAAACCGATCATCTTAGCAACTGGGTCCAATAGGATAGGCAAATTACCACCAACATTGTTCATAACGAATAAAAAGACGCCAATGGTTGAAGAACGCACTTGCAACGGCACAATTTCCACAACAATCGCAAACACGATACCGAACCACATTTCGGCAAAGAAGTAACTGCAACCCAAGGTAATCATAGCCCATAGCGGATCATAGTACACTGATCCGAATGCGGGTAATGTAGCGATCAGCTGACTCACAGCCAACACCAAAGCACGTGAACGTATACCCATTTTGGCGACAATTTTATCGGAGACAATGCCACCAACAACAACACCCACACTACCAATACCAATGGTGACGGCGAACAACCACCAGCCGAGATCCACATCAGGGAAGTAAGCGTTGTAGTAGAGATCAGCATTATAGGCGAAAGTCATGCCACCAGAGTGACGAATGGAAGCGGCAATCATCAACATAATCATAGCAGGATTGGCGAGCACTTTCCACAAACCAATCTTTTTGCCATCCTTAGTGCGATCGGTCTCGCCAATAGCTTTACGTTCTGGTTCCTTGAGTGTGGTGCCGGTGATCGCGGCCACCAACACGGCCAACACGCCAGTACCCAGATAACACATACGCCAGCCGAGATTAAAGAAATTCGATTTGGTAATGTAACGGCCCACAGGGAAGGCAATACCATAACCACCATAGATGCCCCAGTTGAAAATGGCCATGACAAGTGCGCGCTTATTTTCGGGGAAAATGTCAGACATGATGCCGGTGGCTAACGGATTGCAGCCGGATTCACTGTTGAACCAAAAAGTTAAATCAATAAATATGCATATTTAATACAAGCAGTTTCAAAGTGCTGAAGACTTACCCTAATGCCATGAGCATACGCAACAGCAACAGCTGCCAGTAGGCACTTACAGTGCCTTGCAATATTGTGGCGACAGCAAAGATTAAAGTACAAACTGTCAACATTTTGACACGATTGTATTTATCTGCGGCGAAACCCATAAAAACGCCAGCAATTGTAAAGACCAATATGAAGGTGGGACCAGCAAGTATCTGATAATCAATACCCAAACCATTGTAGTTCCATTCGCAGTACGTGGTGTCATTCAGTGATAAAGCAACACAACTGCAATTTGATTAAAAAAATATATATATTTAAAAACTGTGTAAAAAAAATATTAGTTGCATGTGTTGCATACCTTTCTTCTTCCATCACCGCCGCACATTGCTTTGGTAGATCGTCACGTGGAAACATGGTATTATTTTGTTGACAAGCTTTATCGCCATAATCCAATTCAATGGCGGTCTGTTTGGAAGTAACACCGATGAGATAATGACCCAATTCGCCAAGTACATAGCCGACTGTGAGTACGCCCAACGCATACGAGTTGTAGTAACTGCTTACTTTCTTAAGTATTGGAACCATTTTATGACTTAAACGAGTGCTGGAAATATAAAGAAATAAGGAATGGACATTCAATAAAGTGTACTTTAAAAATCAGAAGTGGGATAAGCGAAAAACTCGGAAGTAGAATATAAAAAAAATTGTGTTTAATTTAAGGAAAAAATCAAAAGTGGAATATTTATTAAAAAATAGTGTGTAATTTAAGGGTTAATAATAACGCTAGGTAGAACACACTCAACTGTGTATTTGGCACATAATATAGTTATAAACTAATACTTTACTTAACTACTAATACTAAACTTACGTTTAGTTCCTAATATTTACTAATTGTAAAAGAAAACAAGAAAAAACGTTAACTTCAGTTCCACCAAAAAGTTTTCCACACTAGAACTTGATTTTGATCGGCATGTTCGTATAACAGCTGTATGCTATAGTGAACTGATCTGAACAATTTGTTCTGTTGCTGTAAATAAAAAATCATGCCCAATTTCATGAAGATATCTAATCAAATAAAAAAGTTTTCCTTACGAGAACTAGATTTTGATCATTCAGGTGTATGCTATAGTGGTCCGATCTGAAAAATTTGTTCGAATATTGTAGAATTGCCTTGGAAAATAATTCATGTCTAATTTCTAAAAAGGTGAGGGATAGTTTGCGTATATATAGAAAAACAGACGGACAGAGGGACATGGCTAAATCGAAACAGCTCGCCATGCTGTCCATTTAACATATGTATATTCTTTATAGAGTACACCGTTTATTTCTGGCAGTTCGTAGCAAACTTAATATACCCTGTTCAGAGCAAATTGATATAAATTTTTTGGTATCGGCATTTTAAGTCACCATTAATTGCTCCCTTTTAACGTCACATAATAAATATAAATACGAACAAGCGATATATTTTCTCAGCAAATTATCACACAGAGCCAATAAAATGTTTATTGTGTAATTTATCTATATTTTTGTGTACAAATAGCTAAATAGTCACATACATATACACAAAACCAGGCTTTGTCAGTTGTCCGCGCTTTAACGTATTAATTGTGAATTGTGCTACAATTCCGAAATAGTAATTTATTATTATTTATTTACAAACACAAATAGTCACAATAAATTGCCGCTATGTTTGTTTTCATCTACATATGTATATGAAAATTTAGATGTCGCACTGTATAAAACTTTAAATGTATGCACGCGACTGCTTGCTATTTATACTCCTTGTAGGGAAAAGAATTTCTGTGAAATCTATCCTGTAGAACAATTTACATAACTTCACACATACTTTTGAACAAAATAACAACACCTTTTACGGCCTTTGATACAATTAAAAGCTACATAGTTGCTGCCAAATTGGTGTTCACTATTAGTGCTGCGCGGATATGCCTTTCACTAACACATTATTTCCTACAGGGTTAACGTTTGTTTATTTATACACTAGACAATGATTTATAGATATCGGCACGATTGCGATTTTGCAACGAATTTCTCAGCATGTTTTTGTATCTGTGCTTAAAAAATATTTCTAATAGTTGCACTCCTTTTGGACGTGTGGTAATATTTTAATTGCACACTCTTTTTAGCGTACATACATATTTTAGATTCTAACTATGGATATAGAACGCTTCATGTACAAAGTTTTGCCGAAAAAAACGTGACTGGTATTTGAAAGGTAGAAAGGAAATTGGTTTTTTGCACGTTATTAGCACGGCAGTTGGGATGTTAGCGTTACCATTTATGGCAAACTATAGCAACGAAAGCAGAAAATTGATTGCAGTGTGTGTTCAAAAATGTGACATTGAAATATGTAATTATTTTTGAACATAAACATACACATGTATGTATGTATGTATGTAAATGGATATTTGTAAATGCATAGTTGTGTATTTTTGCTTTCGTTTTTATTAATAATCGTTTTTATTAATAAAAGATGCTGTTCATTTAATAAAAATAATTATTTTCACTAAAAATCAGCTAGAATTGTTGCAAATATTAAAATTAGCATAATTTGTAGCAAAACATTTTTTTAGGCATGGTTTGCTTAATAATTGCCATAAACATCAGCTACTAAGTATATTTCTGGTTAAACAAGCGCTTGGCAACACTTAGCCTAACTGTGTTTATATATATGAACCATGCATATGTATATTAAATGAATAGTTAAATTAGTTACATGTGCTTCAATAAGAATATGTTAAGCTTGTTTGTATTTATGTAAATAAGAGCATAACATATTATTCCACGCCTAAACAAGCACGTGTGTGTGAGAAGTTTTCGCCAATCATTCCTATTGTTTTTGTTGTTTTGTTTTCATTGTTTGCATTATTATTATTATTATTTTTATTAAACGTATATATGTATGTGTGTATTTATGTTTTGCCTTTTCCACAATTCAAGCGAATAAGCCGGCTAATGGATTTCTAATGTAAAACAATGTTTGAGTTCAAAAGCCAATTTGAAGGTTAGCGCGAAATAGGAAACGACGTAAGCAAAAAATGTACAATCCACCTGCAGATAATCGCAAAAGAATGCGCATAGTACACCAACACACATAGTATTGTACAACACGAAAAAAAAACAAAAAAAAGCACAAATAACGAACAAAATTGAAACATTTTGTAATTGCGATACCTTTCATTTAGCTCATGTGCATTAAATTAATAAAGCATTCATTGAATGAGCATAAACATAATTATTATATTTCATTATTTCATGCATTAAGCAGATACATCAAGCGCGATTTGACAGCAAAGCTACGGAAAAAGTGACAGTTCGAATGCTTTGATGTCGTTATGGAACACAGTCAGCAAAAGAAACAAAAAACAATATATACAAATAAGAAATATTATAAGAGTGTAGAGAACAATATAATCTCGATTTGCAATTAAGATTTTACTACTGAGATTTTACTCTGAATTCTGCGGTTTTATGCCATTAATTGACTTCGCGCACACAAAATGTTAAAAAATGTTTCAATATACATATTTACATACATAATGTCGTTGACATAAATGTATAAAATATTCCCATTATAATGAAGCATGAACCACAATTCATTTATCAGATCGAATCACCGGAACAAAACATAAATTTACAAATAACTAAAGCGTTTTTTTTTTTAATAAAATATGCTATAAGGCTGTGCTTAAGCTTATTTGGTATTTATATTTTTATTTAGATGGTAGCTGACAGTTCTGTAAATGTAAACATCAATAGTTTTCGATAAAAAAAAATCGATAAGAAATCCGTGCATTTAAACAAAAAGCAATTGGTATTGTGTTGGCGAAATTTTTAAGAGATTTGTTGGGAAAAATATTTGTATACATTATGCGCTAAATAGAATTAGACACAAGGTTGCGAAATTTTTATTCCAATCTAATTTTTAATCGAAAATGTTTTTAAACACGAAGTACATATGCGCGAAAAAATTTAAAGTCAAAAAAAATATTTTCTTTTTAATTTTTAATTATGAATTAGATAAAATTTTTTTTAATCCCATATTTGGGATTTTTTTGTTTTCCAATTCGGTATTTGGGAATTAAAAATTGTATTTTAAATTTACAATCCGGTATTTGAGATTAGTTATACTAAAACTATTTTGATTTAAGATTTATTTATTAAGATTTTACAAAAAAAAATGTTAATTCAATAATTATTTTTTAATGCGTTATTTGCAACCCTCATATCCTGATTAGACAACAGGTGTTTGGGGGCAGAGCCTCATATTCTGAAGTCTCATAGGATAGCTTAGGACACATACTACATGCTGTAGTTTTTATTTTTGGACGGAAAATAGCGAAACAAAGTCTCAGCACTGCTTTTACAAACACTTGATACCAACTAGTATGTTTGTACCGTTATTCTGTTATTATGTGAACGACTTTTCCTGCTTAAGAACCATTATTTGTTTCTTTGTGATTAATTTCGGAAAAATACAGTACAATTACAGAAGATAAAAATTAAAATGAAATTAGCAAATTGAGTAATTGATTTATGTAATTAAGAATCTTATGCGGCTAATTAGTGCACGCTTTCACAGTTAAAATAAAGCTGACTGGACAGGTGAGTCAGTTGGTGATAGGTGTTGGGCATTTACATAGTTGTTGTATGGACATAAGTATAAGTATATATGTATGTATGTACATATGTATATAAAAGTAAGTATGCGCATTTACATACGTCTATATATTTGCATACATATGTAGAACAGTAGCCAAGTGAATGTTGACAGGCGAGTGAAAGGCTGTGGTGAGTCATTTTGAGAAGTTGATTTATAAAAAAAAAAAAATTTTCATTAAAAAAAACAAATCAATAACAATATTAAACTCCATAAATAAATGCATTTTCACGCTATTTTACAATTCGATAAGGATTATAAATTATTTATAAATACTTATATATAATCTATATTTTCATTTAAACGCTCTAATAATTAATCTGTTATACGAACACAAATTGCCATATTCAAATCAAAATTCTTGATAATTTTTATTTTTTGTGGTTTGCATGCATTAAGCCAGACAAAAATGCAAAGCGCTGATAGTTTGTGCAATCAGTCTGTCATTGACTTTGTCTACGAATTTCAGATAAACGCAGGCGAACCGGTTTTTTTACATTGTTGGAGGTAAGCGCCATGAAATTGCAAGAGACTGCATGATTCACAATGGCTACAACACGAAATAATCACGTGTAAAAGAAACAAATATTATTAAAAATACCCTTACAAAAACAATTATAAGCAGGCGTAGCACAACCAAAACTGGATGGTAAGTATGGGGCATCCCCTTCAGTGAAAGAGAGCAAGAGTGGTTTTAAAGAAGCGCACTAAAAGTAGACGCGGCAACCTGTTTTAACACTCAAGCGAAGCTAGTAGACCATGCACTTGGCACTTGAGAATGACGTAAACTAAGTAAGACAGAAAGAAGGCATAAGGCAGCGCACAAAAGTGAACAACCGATGAGGCTTATGGAAATTAACTCAAGCTAATTATGGATAGACTTAATGACTAAAAAACTGATGTAAGCAAGTTTTTGCTAGTGAAGAAGTTATAAAATCATCTGCATACATACATATTTCGCTTTAAAATTTGTATCCATTACCGCCGATAACGGACCACTACAGAATATAACTGCCATACAAACTGAGCGATCGAATTCAAATCTTTGTATAACAAACCTTTTTATTTGAAAAGATATTTTAACGAAATTTGGCAAAGATTATTATCTAAGCCAAGACTACAATCTCCCAATAAATTGTTTAGATTTGAACACTTTAGCATATAGATTCCATACAGACCGATCAATAACAATTCCTTCTAAGGAAAACATTTTTATTTAACAAGATGTCTTCACGAAATTTGGCATGTATAATTGTAGGAGATAACACTACACTTTTCGAACAAATTGTTCAAATCGGAATACCATAGCATAGAGCTGCCATACAAACTGACTGATCAAAATCAAGATAAAGATCTTTGTATAACCTTTTATGCTATAACAAATGGATGCAGCCGCAGTTAATGGTTTTTCTTATATCTCTTATTTTATTATTATTATTTTTTTTCAATTCATAAACTATCAAATATTTGAAACATTAACTTCTATTAAATTTTTTTTTAATTTTTACTATTTTTTTTTTTTTTTTGCATTAATAGAGATTAATATTTAATTACAGCGTTGCAACGAAAATATGCTGCTTTACATCATCCAGAATAGCTTTCAATGTCATGCATACACTACTGTCAACTTGACTGACATTTCCATTAATGTGTTGTGACAACTGCGTTATTACGATTTGTCATTGCAATACTTTGTTAAATATTTTTGCAACATAAATTAGCATAAAACCGCAACTGTTTCGGAAAAATTAAATACATTTCAATTGAACTATTAGAGTCAGTAGTGATTTAATGGAAATCAATTAGAAAATTGTTGAACTGCTAAATGTTGACTGCGAAATATGCCAAATGCACGTCTATATGTAATACAATTAACAATCACATAAACTTAAATAATGAAAGAAAAATTTAGGAATGCGTATGTAATACGGTGTCTAGCTAAAAACATAAAATATAGTTATGATAGTAACTTGTTTACAATTATTTAATATACTGCTGATTACTAACATGACACATTGCTTTACTTACTTATATGCATTTGACAGCTATTAGCCGGAATAACAAGTACGCAGAAATGAAGGCAGAAATTAATTGCAAACTAGTACAGTCTTGCGTGCACGATAACTTTAAATAAAATGCACATAAATTAGCCCTTAAACCGGTTAGTCGTTGCGGTCGCGCAAACGTCGTTACGGTCAAGCACTTTGCGCACTTACCTTATAATATGACTTACAATACAGAGCAAAGTAATTTTCAATAATTGTTGTTGTTTTTTAAAGAAAATTTGTTAAATAAACAGAACTGCAGCTTAGCAACAATTGCAAAAACTTATTTTGCATTTGAGTAAACAACCGGAGAGGGTGTGTTTACTGCACAGACATATAATTTTTTGTTTTTTGTAACGCAGCCAATTTTCGCGCGACAAATCACGAAAAGGGAACAACGCCGAAAAAAATACAAGAAAAACACTGAATTAAATAGCTGCTGATTTTAGTGCAAAGAAGTAATTGTCGCCACGCATTTTTAATTTGCTCATTGGTAGACATAGTTGCCAGCTGCCTTTTATACACACATACATATAAAACACCTGTGGCAGCACAGGAAGTTTGTAAAAACAAGGCTTTTTTATCTTTGTTATCTTATTTTTTTCCTTTTAAAAGTTTTCGACTTTTTTACTTATTGCAGTTGACACTTAATGTTTGTTGTTGCTTGTCAACCTGTTTTACACATGTACTTAAGTAAGGTAATTGATTTGTATGAGATACCATAAAATTTAACGATCTTAAGATAAGGTAAAGTCTTCAGAAATTTATTAACAATTTCACTGGCTTGGAGTTTTGCTTGGCATAAAAGTAAAAAGTAGAGAATTGCTTTTAAATGTGGTTTTTCCAAAGTGGATAAAAAAATCAAATCTTTGGGTGAAAAACTTTTTTATTTAACAAGATAACTTCACAAAATTTGGCATGGATTATTTTCCAAGGCAACGGTATAATCGGCGAGCAAATCGTTCAGATTGGACCACCATAGCATATAGCTGCCATACAAACCGTTCAATCAAATTCAAGTTCTTGTATAAAAACTTTTTTATTTGTGAAGGATACAATAGGTTCGGTGCAACCAAAGTTAACGTTTTTTCTTGTTTTCATACAGACATTTTATTTATCACTACTTTTTTATAATAAAATATTTAAAAAAGCAACGGAGTACATTTATTACAAGCAAAACTTTTCACAATACTGTATAATACCTTAATAAACATATAAATATAAAAATACCATAAGAGATAAATAAATAAATATAAATATACAAATTAATATAAATATATTTACTATATATTACTGATTCTATAAAAATAATTGCCATGCTATAGGCAGTTGGCAACGCCACCAACAGACAGCTCAATAACAAACAATATAAACACGTAAAGTGAAAGTAATTTTTTAATTGATTTATATGAAGGTGTGACTTAATTCACAAAAATTCTTGAGTGCACCAAAAAACGGACTGCTTTTAGTGTTGAATAATTGCATTAATTTGAAAATAATTCAATAGGCAATGACAAAAATATGTCTATGACAAAGGAGATGCAGCACATGCGCACTCTAAACATTTACGAGAATTTCAAAAATTCTGCTAAAATCCAACAATTTTCGTATAATTTTACATATACTCTCACCTATTTGTCTTTAATTGTATGCCGTAGCTTTTTTAAGTGCTTTAACGCACATATGCAATCACTTGAACTTAGAGTGCAACCGCGTAATGCAACCGCCGCCAAGGTTAACTGGTTGTTCCCTGCTTGAAGCAATACAACAAACGTATGTATGTACAGTGTATGAATGCATTTGAATAAAGGTGTTTAGCATACCTACATACATGCATACAAACATGTGCATATTTATTAGCAGCCAAATGCTGGGCAAATTGTAGGCAAGAAACAATTAATAGACTTT